CTTTTTGTCTTGGCTCAATTTTTTTTTTCCTTTTGTTCCTTTTCTATGGGTCTTTTTTTGACATTCCGTTATTTGGTTCATTTTTATTCTATCACATATATGACTCTTTTATTTTCTTATTCCTTACGTATAACTTTACTATTTAATTCTGTTTTTTAGTAGCCTCTCCTTCCCTACAATTATTTTTATCTTTTATCTCTAAACCTTTCTTATCTTTGATACAACCTATGTAATTTTTGTTCAGCTTGATTTAATATTGTAAAGCCCCTTGTTATTAATATTTAAAATATCCGTTCAATTTTAAAAGTATTCTCCATCTAAATTTTTTTGTCAAATTTCTCGTGCCCTTTAATTACACTTGTCAACATTTTTGATAATGTAGGTTTGTAAAATACCCTGAATAATTAGTTATTTCTCCCAAGTTTACTCCTGAACCCCGACATTAATTTTAACCATTGCCTCATTTATGACTTACCATTATGTCATGATTTGTAATATTATCTAATATTATTTTAACTAAGATTATTTAATATTTTTTAATATTATTAAAGATTATTAATTGTTATATCATCACTCTTTTATACCTTCTCATTTGTTATACTTATTTCGACATTGAATATCTCTTCATGCAGCTATTTCCACTAGGTCATACTTTGGGATCTTACTTGAAATTAATTTTGGAATCGATTGATACCAATTTCAATTAAATCGGAACCAAAAGCCATCTTCTAAAACTTGAAAAAATGAACATCCACACAAAATGAAGATTCCGCAAGGGTTAGGGCTTCAAGATTTAATATTTATAAATATGAACTTCATAATACCCTGGCATGTAGCCCTTTCTTTGATACCTTGCTTCTTTCAATTTTCAATTCAGTTGGATTCTTCTGGCCCTAGTTATCCTTATTTTTGTAAGTCATCCATTTTTTTCTTTAAAACCCTAACCTTATAATCTTCTTACCCTTACCCTATCGGAATCTTAAGAATTTTGGATCGATCGATGCTGGCATTGGGGTCTGAGCTTATTTGATATGTGGGCATTAAGATACTTATATCAACGTTTAGAGCCTTTGGAGATAAATATGGATCGCTAATTAGATTTCAAATTCAATGTCGGGGGGCCGAGTTATAACTGTTTTTGTCTCTCGCAATCTTTTCGGTACCGGGCTGATATTTACACTCGGCCAGTACATTATGGAACGGGACACCTCTCCAATATAGAGGACTTTTATAACATACATGAATAGATAGATCTAGAGTTGTACATATAGGAAATATAATTTATATTAATTTTAAAGCTATATTTGACGAGTAATCAATGATTAAAATATTTCAGGGTTTGAAACCCTAACCCTTGCGTAAACTGTCACTTTGCTAACAAACTAAATTTACTTTTGAAATTTTCAGACCCCCATTTTTGAAAAACTGCGATAACATTTGAAATACCTATTGCTGAACATTGTAAATGAATAATAGGAACCTTTAGCGGATTGCGCATCTAATGAAACCAATATCAAGCCAGTGGGGCTCGTATTAAAGATAGTTGCCTAACAAGGTTGTATTTAACGCCAATGTTTGTCCCATGTCATTTCAGCCCGTTCCTCTGTAAAAGCTTCTCTTGGACATTAATCGTCAATTAGTGAGTTAATAAGGATTCTATAGTTCTGTGGCAATCATATGAACCTAAAAATGTATCTCCTGGCCCATTATTAATGTTTCTGGCCACTTAACACCATTTCTACGGTTCCCCTCCTTGTCTTACCAGTTCTTTATCGTGCTCTAACACTCCCCAGTATTGTAATAGAATTAAGAAAACTATTTTTGTTTGAATCCCAGCTTACTAGCTATATACTGGATATAATCAATTTTAATTATTTTTAATATTAATATCTTTGTAGGTTTCTCTTTCTTCAATGCCCACACATTTCATGGCTTGTAAGACTCTTACTTTAACACCCTATAACTCTATCAAAACCATTAAAATATTAATTTATTAAATGGAATCATATAGAAAATTTTTTCAAAATTATAATACTTTAGATTAAAGCTATTTATTTTGGTTAATGATTATAATTTATATTAACAAACTGTTACATTAAAATTTCATCTGGATTTTTATACCTTATATTAAAATTGATGTAACTCTTCAAAAAATAGTTTAATTGGCATAAATAATATACTAATCGATAGCCACAACCGCGTAGAAGCTACTAAGCCCAAAAAATCAGTCGAAATCTCATTATTAAGGCCCGAAAACCCAATTCTAAATATATTATAATATTTATATTCTAACATTAGTATTCTGTTAAATCCTCATTAATACATAGAAAAAGGAAATTAAAATTAAACTAGACGAAAGGCAGAACGTTCCTCTACAATATAAACATATTATAATGGTTGTATACAGTATATCGCGTGTGTTACAGGTGATTTAATATCCAAAAACTTTATGAGTTCTGGTTTAATTTTTTTAGGTATTTAACTTTAACTATTATTAACTATTTCAATATAACTCAATCATGTTAAATTAACATAAACTAACGTAAAATAAACTAAGTTTAAATAAACTAAACTCAATATAAATTTAAACTTTGAACTGCTTTACATGGATGGAACGTTAGAGTGCTATGTCTCTTTGGTAATTGCTCGGTGAACCGTCTTACCAGGTTGCTCTCACTCCTCTGTTACTATTACCTTCATTGAACTTAACTAGAAACATTTCACTACATTTCAACTTCTACAGTAGCTTGTTAGATTTCTGTGTCAGGTATAAAAACCCTATAATGTCTTAATTAAAAGATAATTTTAGGTTCCAACATAAGATTAAACCTTTATTATCAATCATCTTTCTTGGAAATCTGTTATATAAACAGAGACCACCCTTGTGATTCTTAGGCCCGGTAATTTTAAATTAACTCATAGTTTCAATGAAAAGCAATACTCTCGGATTCTTCACAAAAAGCACCAAGTTTTTTTGTATTATCCTCAAATCTTTCTATTGTTAAAAAAATATCTTGAACCCCATAAAGATTGGGATTTATTTGTTGCAGAGCCACTCTTGCAAGGTTATTTCACACCAATGGCCACTCCCCATTCACAAACTTCATTCTCTTTAGCTAGTACATCCATAATTAGCCCTCTTAAACATTTCACAAATGCATGACTGAAGCACTGAACATGTATATTGGTTGACGGGTAGCAGATGTGGGAGATCGACAGTTGTGATTTCGTAAAACCGAGCCTGTATACATGACTAGGCACATAATTGAGATAATTAACGATAAAAAACTGGACACTAATTTTAATAAGCATCTTAAAAACGTCCCAAAGGTATCTGCGGTAAAACGGTCGACTGCTTGCTGGAATAACTAGTAAGAAAACAAGTAAATGGAGACCCTAGGGTCGCAGAGTGCATTGGATTTAATAGTCAAGGTGTTTAAATTACTTAAAACAGTAATTCACGAGCAGAGTAACTCCAAATGTGTCAAAGTGTCTTCTAGTGAACAGTCATCAGCGGAAACCAAGCCCATTCCACACTATTAAAGTTCTTAAAAATAGTAGTGCCAAAAGCAGATGCTTTTTTTTTTTGTTAATTGATAGGTACCAGTTAGTTTTGAATGCAAAGCGTTGAACAGAAGCTTTAATTGATGAAAACCGCAGCCTAAAAAACAGCATGTAATTGATATCTATCCCATTGTTTAAAATTCAAATAGGAAATTCAAGAGAAAACTTTGAAAGACTGGCTTTAGAACAAAGCCCCTGGAATTCACTTAAAATTTTGTATTTGAAAGACAAAAAAAACCATATCAATAATTGGCAACCATGTAGGAATGCCATTGAAAGTCTTTCAACAAACCTCGGATCATTTCAAAAGCTATTTACTAAGCAACCCACATGAACAAAAAGATGACATAATTCTTTGGTAGCTAGATATTTGAACAAGGCACCATACAAACAAACAAGCGAGACGCTCCGAGTGACCCTGTGCAGCATTTCGGTTTGCAGTCCATAAAAAAACATTAACATCATAAGTAGCAAGCTACCTGAGTATTGATTTCAGCAACTTCCAGTTAAACCAGAAAGATGTTTAATCTCGAAAAAATCCATTCATCCAGCTATATTTAGACCTTAGGAATCATTTTTCAAAGTCATCTAGAAATAGAAATCAGGGTAGTTTATTGTGATGTACTTCCTGACAGTCGAGCAGATTGGATATCAAGCTATGTGATGCTTTCAAGCATTGACTCAAAAAGCAAATCCAGTCAGGGTTTTGAGATGTAGCAATAGACAGCTAAGCACTTTTCCCGTCAAGCACACTGGTAATATCATTGACAAAAAGCGCATGTTTCTTTTGATTAAGTTTATAACCACAGGGAACGGAATTAAACCGGATAACTATGAGTATTCAAAAGAAAGTGATAAGAAAATAAAATTAAGAATAAGTAACATTGAAATGGGTAAATCATTGGTGACAAAAATTAAACAACAACAAGAACAATGAAGTAAAGTTGGAAATTGTGGAGAATTGATGGAGGTGTTGGAGAAAACGTGGGGGTTTAAGCTGGTGAATTAAATAAACAAGGCAGGGTAAATTTTAAAATTTACACACCTTGAATAACCCTCATATAACATCACGTCCAAAGGCTTATCAAGTGCTATCAGTACATTCCACGTTCCTTTTTTTTTTTTTTTTTTCTTTTTTTGGCATTGACGAACCAAGTAGCCCTTAAAATTGACATTGCAACTAAAAAGATCACACTTTACCTAGTTTCTTTCTTTCCTTGACCGGTACTCAACTGAGCCATCTTTTCGGAGTCCGGGACTTGACTGCACATACTTGACTCAGATGGCAAATCTAAATTATGCAAAAGAAATCTCCTGGATTATCACACACGAAACTAGAATAACATGATTAGCAGCTTCAATGGAGTATAAAATCCATCTCTTTTCCAAGCTCTCCTGTTATTGAAGAAATAACCTTTAATATTCTTTTTAATATAATGACTGCAGACACATTTTCTGATAACCTCTTCAAGCCTCTCAAAGTTGGCAATATTATTCTCAACCAGCGCATTGCAATGGCGCCCCTTACTCGAGTACGGGCGCGCATTGAGGGTGCTGTGCCAACCGACATCATGACAACGTATTATAAGCAACGTTCCTCTGCTCCTGGGACTCTTATAATCACTGAAGGTACTTTCATTACACAACGTGCAGGCGGGTACCCTGGGGTTCCGGGAATTTGGTCCGAGGAGCAAATCAACGCTTGGACAAAAGTCACCACTGAAGTCCATGCTCAAGGATCATTTGCGTTTCTTCAACTATGGGCCCTTGGCCGTGTAGCAGCTCCCAATTACCTTCGCTCTCTGGGCCATGACCTTGTGTCGGCATCTGATGTTGCTAATACCTCGGGATCTGGGCGAATGCTTATTGGTAAAGACAAGCATGGAGAAAGGCCAAGGCCACTCAAAGTGGATGAAATAAAAGAGTACGTCAAAGACTATGCACAAGGTGCAAAGAATGCAATTGCAGCAGGGTTCGATGGCGTGGAGATCCACGCTGCAAATGGTTATCTCCCCCATCAATTCCTTCAAGAGTGCACCAATAAACGCACAGACGAGTATGGAGGAACAGTTGAAAATCGGGCTTTGTTTGTCTTGGAAATCGTAGATGCTGTTGTGGCAGCAATAGGTGCTGACCGGGTTGGAATCCGGCTTGCTCCGTACAATACAGCAGGTGGAATGACGAGCGGGCCCGGAACGCTAGAGCAGTATGCTTATGTGTTGAAAGAGCTTGAAAAGCGAGGACAATCTCCCAATGGACGGTTAGCATATGTCCATACTGTGGAAAATCCACAGGAGGTGAAAAACTCTGTGGGAGAAACTGTTCTTAGAAGACCCATGGAGTTTGTGCGCAATGTTTGGACAGGTGTGTGGATTAGGGCCCAACGGTTTGATAGAAACCTGGCTTTGAAGTTTACTGATGAGGATGATAAGGTTGTTATTGCTTTTGGTAAGCCATTTATATCAAATCCAGACTTGGTTCGCAGAATTAGAGAAAACTTGCCGTGGACTGAGCCAGATTTTTTGACATTTTATGCACCGGGGCCTGAGGGATATATCGATTATCCATTGTATCACTAAATATATTAAAGTGTTAGAGAAATAGAAAAAAAAAAAGAAATAGATGATATGCAGGAACAATAATTACCATTTTGGTACAACTTTAAGCGACTTTTGATCCTTGATCTCCAGCTCCCCAAAACACAGAGACGCTAAACAATCGTCTTCCAGAAAAAAAGAGTCAAATGCCTTTTTTTTTTTCAAACTATTTTAATTCTTTTGTTAATATTAACCACAAAAATTAATTACAAGACTTACCTCCACCATGAGATATTAAAATATTTATCAATTTTCGATTTATCCAGTTAAATTAGTAGCCAAAACCTTGAACAAAGTTTCAAAGATATTTTTACAAAATATTAAAACCGAGATAATAGATTTAAGGTATTTTGATTACTAAGTGCTGGGTTTAAGTCATGAGAATAAACAGACTTAATTGAAAAATAGCAGATGCTGTTGATACAAAAGGCTCGCTGAAGGGTATTCTCTTTTGAAAAGTAATTTGGCAGTACTGAAAGCTGAACGTAGTCTTTAGTCAAGTAAATGTAAGTTTAACAATAAATCGATACCAGCCGTGACGGTAGCTAACTAACCATGGAAAAGCGCCTTGCCATTTATGATATAGTAAATAAAAGCGTCAGGAACCTATTGACAGATTTTTCAAAACTGGAACAGAATTAAACATATGAAAAAACAGCTGGTATAAATTGAAAAATAATTAATTTAAAAAATGGAGAAAACAGAACCCAACTGCAAGATAGCTGATGAATGAAACCAAAATATGAACTCTTTTTTACATCTTGAATTTTAATTCATCCCTTCTTTTTAAAAAGAACTCAATGAGGACAAAAGAGGTGCATGTAATGAAGATTTTTTTTTTTTTTGAAAACTTATTAAGTAGTTATTTGTGCATATTGATTAGAAAGATAACTGCAAAAACCTTTGAAGTATTTCCATGGGTTGTGCTTATAAATCAAACGCATAGCCAAGAGACCCCCACAAAAGGCAGCACCCCAGGTAAAAGAAATTAGAAGAAAAAAAAATATAAATAGACTGAAAAGTCCTTCCATTGACCCACTTCTTTTCTTTATCCATTCATTTCTTCAACATGTCAGCAAATAATCTATTCAAGCCTCTCAATGTTGGCAAAATTCAAGTCGCTAACCGCATCATAATGGCTCCACTCACACGTGTGCGGGCCAATATATCAAATGCTGTACCGACCGACATCATGACGACATATTACCAACAACGTGCATCTGTTCCTGGAACCCTTCTCATAACAGAAGCCACTTTCATTACAGAAAGAGCAGGTGGGTATCCTGGTGTTCCTGGGATTTGGTCGAAAGAACAAGTGTCTGCATGGAAAAATGTGACGCGCGCAATCCATAAACAAAAATCATTTGTGTTTCAGCAATTGTGGGCATTAGGCCGCGTTGCCGGGCCCGATACCCTCCATGCCCTTGGCTATGATTTAGTTTCTGCATCATCAGTTCCGGATGAGACCAAGAGAGGCCAGTCTTTAGCGCCGCAAGATGTGTTTGGATCAGCGCCACGCCCATTGAAAATTGAAGAAATTAAAGAATATGTCAAGGATTATGTTCATGCAGCCAAAAACGCAATTGAAGCTGGGTTTGATGGGGTTGAGATTCATTCGGCCAACGGGTATTTGTTGCAACAATTTTTGGACGAGCATTCTAATTTGCGCACTGACGAGTATGGCGGAAGCGTAGAAAATCGAGCCCGATTTGTGCTGGAGGTTGTTGACGCCATTGTAAAAACAATTGGAGCAGAACGTGTGGGAATTCGATTGTCTCCATATGTGGATAATGGAGGCATGAAACATGGTCCTGGAACTCTTGAGCAGTATGCGTATCTTCTTAAAGAGCTTGAAATTCGGGGGCTCAAACCTGGTGGCCGCTTGGCGTATATCCACACTGTTGAGAACACTTTTGAAGCTAAGAATTCTATAGGAGAGCCTATTATTATTAGACGACCCTTGGAATTTGTACGCAATGTGTGGTCAGGTGTTTGGATCCGTACACAAAAGTTTGATCGAAAGCTTGCCTTGGAGTTTGTAGATGTTGATGACAAGCTACTGATTGGATTTGGCAAACCGTTCATTGCCAACCCAGATTTGGTACATCGGTTCAAGGAAGACTTACCGTTGAATGATTTTGATTTTAAAACGTTTTACGCTAATGGTCCTAAGGGATACATTGATTATCCATTTTATAACTAAGGGTTGTATTAAAGATGTTGAAATATATTGTCATATTAGAGTATTTTTTTTTTCTTTTTTTTTTTTTTTTTTAAATGAATCTTTTAATTTTCATTTAACAAAATGTATTTAAAGAAAGGAATTATTAAAGGAATAGTATATAAAATTATTTAAAAGTATTTAAAAGTATTGAAATGGAAATGATTTCAAATATAAATTGAATTTTGGTGGCAATTGAAATAGGATTAGAAAATCAACATGGCAAATTAATAAATTAATAAATTAATAAATTAATAAATTAATAAATTAATAAATAAATATATAAATATAAAAACAATATATTGTTATATAATTATATAACAGTTATGAAGATAAATAAATATATTTCTTATATAATCATTAATAATCTATATAATTAGTAGTATTTATAAGGGAATCTCAATCTAAACCCTGCAGAAATTAAACCTTTTCTTTCTGGCCATTAAATAAATAAATAAATTAAATTAAATAATAACAAAATTTCCTGGCTTTGTAGATTTTTTTTGTTAATTCCCATATTTTTTTAATGTCCTGACTAAATTAATCAAAGTTTATATAACTTTTAAGCTTAATTGATAATTATAAATAAAAAATAAAAAAATAAAAACTTAATTCTCGATGAAATGAAAAATGAAATAAAATGAAAATTTTTTTTTTATTCATTTAAAGTTGAATATCTTACTTACACACAGTTTGAAGAAAAGCAGCTTTTACAATGTAGGGTTTAAATCAACTTAAACACAATAAGAAGCTTCTTGTGCTTAGAAATCAAAGGCTTTTATTGATAATAAATTTAAACTCGACTGGCTAATATAGAAAAAAATTTCGGACTTAAGTATGGAAATAGTTCGACGGGGAAAAAAAAAAAAAAAAAATCAACTATCTCCACGAATGGCCTTTCATCATCAATTCAATAGTCAAATCCCTTTTTTTAAAAAAAAAAAAAAAAAAAATTTTTTTATATATAAATAAATGTTTTTTTTCTCCCTCCCTTATTCCTTTTCTTAAACAAATAAACAAACCATTCTTTAATTTCAATCAAAAATTATCAAACAACTTTTACCCCACAATGTCTGTTCTCACTAACAACCTCTTCAAACCAATTATGGTGGGTCGCATCAAACTTGCCCACCGTATTGCCATGGCCCCATTAACTCGAGTTCGCGCAGACCCAGAAACAGCAGTCCCAACCAACGTTATGGAAACCTATTACAAGCAACGCTCACAGGCCCCAGGCACACTTATTGTGACCGAGGCCACCGTCATTTCAGAACAAGCACGGGCATTCCCAGGTGTGCCTGGTATTTGGACAAAAGACCAAGTGTCTGGCTGGAAAAAAATCACAGATATTGTTCATGATCAACACTCATTTATTTTCCAGCAATTGTGGGCTGTGGGTCGTGCAGCAAAGCCCAACTATTTATTCTCGCTTGGGAACGACTTTGTATCATCGTCAAATGTACCGGATCTCACTAGTCCCTACAACCAAGAAGGAATTATTCCTCGTGCTTTAACTATTGAAGAAATTAAACAATACGTGAAAGATTTCGCACAGGCAGCCAAAAACTCAATCGAAGCTGGGTTTGATGGTGTCGAGATTCACGCAGCAAATGGATATTTGCCACACCAGTTTCTTGACGAAACTGTCAACCATCGCACGGACCAGTATGGCGGGAGTGTAGAAAATCGGGCAAGATTCACTTTAGAAATTGTTGACGCCATTTCAGAAGCCATTGGCTCAGACCGTTTGGCCATCCGTTTATCACCCTATGAAACGTATGGCGATATGAAGTATGGTCCTGCTACTCTTGAACAATACGCGTATCTTCTCAAGGAACTTGAAGTGCGCGGCCTCAAGTCTGGCGGTCGCCTAGCATACATTCATACTGTGGAAAACACGTTTGATGCCACAAACTCTGTGGGCGAACCCATTCTCAAACGACCCTTAGAGTTTGTACGTAACGTTTGGTCTGGTGTTTGGATCCGCACCCAGCACTTTAGTCGTGACCTGGCGCTAGATTTTGCAGACTTGGACGACAAACTGGTGATTGGATTCGGAAAAATGTTCATTTCAAACCCAGACCTGGTGCGTCGGATCAAAGAAGATTTGCCTCTGGCCACACCGGATTTTACCAAACTATATACTGGCGGTGCGAGTGGGTACATTGACTATCCAGAATATGCAGAAAAGAAATAAGAAATAAAGAAATATAGCTCATGTAGCAATAAGATTGTAATGATTCAGTCAAACCACTCTTCTGGATTTCTCAGGGTTTATTACTGGTGTACCCGATTGAAAAGTCTTGTGGAGAAAAAAAAAAAAAAAAATTCCCTCCATTTTGGTGCTTATAAATCAGTCAGGAACCCCCCACACTCATATGAAATCAGTTCATCCTCATCTTGATAATTAATAATAAATACCTCTGATTTTTCCCCTTCTCACTCTCCAAAAAAAAAAAAAAAGAAAAAATTTATCACCCTTCAATCAAAATCCATGACAGCTTCAGCTTTAACAAATAACCTCTTTAAGCCTCTCAAGGTGGGAGAAATCACCTTGGCCCAGCGTATCGCAATGGCCCCTTTAACTCGCGAGCGTGCCCGCGTGGCAGACTCAGTTCCCACAGATATCATGACCACCTACTACACACAGCGTGCTTCTGCTCCAGGAACTCTTATCGTCACCGAAGCCACATTCATTACCGAGCGTGCCGGTGGGTACCCGGGAGTCCCTGGAATTTGGTCTCAAGATCAAGTCCATGCCTGGCAAAAAGTGACTGCCGCTGTCCATAAGCAAAAGTCGTTTATATTTTTGCAATTGTGGGCCCTAGGACGGGTCGCAGGACCCGACACATTGCGTTCAAATGGTCACGATCTGGTGTCTGCATCCAATATTTCAGACACCACACAGGTGGGCCAGCACCTAGCGTTAGACGATGTATTTGGGGAAGCCCCGAGACCGCTGAGCGTTGAAGAGATAAAAGAATATGTTCAGGATTATGTTCACGCTGCACAGAACGCAATTGAGGCAGGATTTGATGGGATTGAGATTCATTCGGCAAACGGGTACCTTTTGCAACAGTTTTTAGACGAGCACTCGAATTTGCGTACAGATGAGTACGGTGGGAATGTAGAGAACAGGGCCCGGTTTGTGCTAGAAGTTGTGGACGCGATTATAAGTGCAATTGGTGCTGACCGTATCGGGATCCGGTTGTCACCGTACGAAACGTATGGCGACATGAAGCCCGGGATTGGAACTTTAGAACAGTATGCGTATCTTTTAAAAGAACTTGAGGAGCGCGGGCTTAAGCCAAATGGTCGGCTGGCCTATATCCACACTGTGGAAAACACTTTTAAATCAACCAACTCACTAGGCGAGCCCATTCTAAGACGCCCGTTGGAGTTTGTGCGAAATGTGTGGACTGGCGTGTGGATCCGTACCCTAGGGTTTGACCGAAATCTGGCGCTCCAGTTTGCAGATGTAGATGATAAACTGGTGATTGGTTTTGGAAAGTCATTCATTGCTAATCCGGACCTGGTGCGCCGGCTAAAGGAGAATTTGCCTCTTAACAAGTTTGATTTCAAAACCTTTTACCGAGCTGGCTCCAAGGGCTATACTGACTACCCATTTTATGAAAGTTGATGTGATTGACGTCAGATATTCAGATATTGAAATAGATGGATGAACATGCTATTTTTTTTTTTTTTTTTGCTTATAAATACAAACGACAATGATAAAGAGCCGCTTTAGTACCGGGTCCGTCGTAAAGAGCTAGCTGCATTTCCCGGAACCTTATAAATATATAATACTCTTGTTCAACCGCTCTCCGAAATGACGTGATTAGAAAATCGTTTTGTTATAAATATCCCCGGGTGCGTCTCTTTTATATAAGAGAAGAAAAAAAAAAAAGAATAAGAAAATAAAATAAAATAAAATAAAATAAAATAAAAATAACCCCCCCTCATTTTAAAACACCCTTCCAATGACAGTTTCTACAACTGATACCAATAATAACCTCTTCAAGCCGCTGAAAGTCGGCCAAGTCACGCTTAACCAGCGTATTGCAATGGCCCCGTTGACCCGGGTACGTGCACAAGTCGAAGGTGCAGTGCCAACAGATCTTATGACGACATACTACGAACAACGCGCGTCAAGCCCCGGGACACTGCTCATCACCGAGGCCACATTCATCACAGAACGCGCAGGCGGGTACCAAGGAGTGCCCGGGATCTGGTCTAAGGAGCAGATTGATGGGTGGGCTAAAGTTGCAGCGGCCATTCATGCCAAAGGTTCTTTCGGGTACGTGCAGCTGTGGGCTTTGGGCAGAACCGCAGGACCAGAGTACCTACAATCGCGTGGCTACGATCTGGTTTCATCGTCAAACGTCGCACGGCCACTGGGTCCTAAGAATAAATTGATTGGCACCGATACAGTTGGAACCGTTCCTCGGCCATTGACGGTAGATGAAATTCACGAGTACGTGCGTGACTATGCGCAAGCAGCCAAAAACTCAATTGAAGCAGGGTTTGATGGGGTTGAGATCCATGCAGCCAATGGGTTTTTACCGCATCAGTTTTTACACGAAAACATAAACAAACGCACGGATGAGTACGGCGGGAGTGTTGAGAACCGGGCTCGGTTTACTCTTGAAATTGTAGACGCAGTTTCAGCCGCAATTGGTGCGAGTCGGGTGGGCATCAGGTTTTCACCGTATTACGTTGGTAGTGACCTTGGGGCCGGTCCTGGGACGTTGGAGTTGTATGCATACTTGCTTAAAGAGTTGGAGGAACGCGGTCTTGCTGATGAAGCCAATAAGCGGTTGGCATATATTCACACGGTAGAAGGTGCAATTGAAGTGCATAATTCAATAGGAAACCCCATTTTGAGACGCCCATTGGAATTTGTGCGCAATGTCTGGACAGGTGGGTGGATCAGAGCGCAAAGATTTGACAGAAAGTTGGCGCTTGAGATTGCGGATGTCGATGACAAGGTGGTGATTGCATTTGGGAAACCCTTTATTTCAAATCCAGACTTGGTTCGTCGGATTAAAGAAAACTTGCCATGGGCAGAGCCAGACTATGAGACGTTTTACGTGCCAGGAGCCAAAGGATATACCGATTACCCTTTTTATAGCTGAATCATGTAATGAATTGACAAATGCCTTCTTTTTTTTTTTTTTTTTTTTTTTTCTCTTTTTATTCTGGCAAAAACACATTGAGCAGCTTATCGACAATATCCTGCATTTCCATGATACCGACAGGCTTACCAGAAGAATTTTTTCGATTTCGTCTTCGTTTTTGAGCAACCGCAAATTGGGCTGCACGGATGGTGTGGCCATAAACTTCCTTAAATTCTGCGTCCCTGGCAACTCCGCGTAAGCGCAAGGATGCCAGAATCAAGTGCTGTAGTGCTTGCCGTTCACGGTCCTCTAGAGTTCCTTCAACGACCAAAGATTGGTTTTCAGTGGGACGTTCAGCAGGAGGAACTGAAGAGGGTCGGGGTCGAGCAGCTTCACGGTTGGCACGAGTGAAGGGATCTGGTGTTGGGTCTTCGACAATGGGGGCTCCAAATGGGACTCGAGAGGAATGTCTGCGGCCGACCGAGTGCTGGTGCAAGAGATCAAGGCCCTTTGATTCTTGGACGGGTTGTCGGGTGGTTCCGAGAAACCTTGAAGGTTCCCTAGCTAGGCCAGTTTCTGAGTCAAGAATATAAGGTTGGGTGTTTTGGGGTTTATTAGATTGTCCGGCCATGTGAACCAAAGCCAGAATTTGTGCATCTGCCTTGACCAAAACTGCAGAAAGATCCCAGTTGGTATTGTTGGCATTAGGAATTTTGACTAGTATAAGGGTATATGTACAAGTGGTATTGTCGGATACAGTAGCAGCGGAAGGTGCTGGTTGTACAAGTAGCCCAACGGCTGGATCAGTGTGAGCAAAAAGGGCATTTAAGTTGTCGCGTGCCGTAGCATCGGTAGTTTTTATAATCCATTGGCCGCCACAAAAGGCCCAAATAGGTACTAGATGGGTGTTAACTCGGGCGATTGCAACTAATCCACTTGTAACCAAAGACTGAAGGATTGATAGAGAAGTAGTAGTAGTAGATGATGATGATGATGATGAGCTTGAAGAAGCCCAGAATTGAAGACCTGGAAGAAGAATGTCTGTTTCTGCACCTACTGCAGAGCCTGGTATTGCGAGGTCTGCAGCAGCCACAAAGAATGCCTGTTCAGAGGGGCTATTTAGTGGCGGGTCTTTGCTCATTTGGTATGGCAATGTGTATGTATGTGTGTAGACTTGATATTCGTGTCGGGTATTTGGTTAAGTTTGATTGCTGCTTTTTAAAAAATAAAAAATAAAAAAAATTGTTCGTGGTGGTGGTGGTGGTTGTGTAAAAGCCTCGTTGAAGCCCAAAATTATTAAATTTTTTTTAAAAAAAAAAAAAAAAAAAAAAGCAGCACCACCACCACTAACATCAACCACCACCAAATCACCACCAAACCACCAACCTTAAAATTTTCCCTTCCAGTATTTTTTTTTTTTTTTTTTTTTGTTCTTTGTTAATTATTTTTTATTTATATATTTTTATTTATTTTTTTTAAATAAAAAAATTGAAATAAATTTTAAATAAAAAAAATTTAAAAATTTAAAAATTTAAAAAAAAAAAATAAAAATAAATAAATAAAAATAAATAAAAATAAAAATAAATCACAAAGTCTTTGGAGATTCCAAACCTCCATAAACCTTTCCCAAATATTCCACACCTCCATCGCACACATACCCACACATCATAATAATTAATACACATACACGCACACATATAAAAAATGGTCAAGTCGGTGGCTCGCGTGTACGCAAACTACAACAAAGATATGCCCAGCTCGTACTGGGACTATGAACATGTCAAAATTAACTGGGGTAGTCTTAACTACTATGAGATTCTACGCAAAGTCGGTCGCGGAAAGTACTCAGAAGCCTTTGAAGGCATCAACATTGGCTCGCTCAACATGGGTAGCTCCAGTAACAGCTCCGGCAGTACTGCAGGTGACAAGGCCTCCAAAACTTCTGCTGGCTCTTCATCTTCTCCCACCTCTTCCTCCTCTTCCTCTTCTTCTTCATCCTCCTCTTCAGCAACAGATACACCCGAGTTTGAAACATGCGTCATCAAGGTGCTCAAGCCCGTCCGCAAGAAAAAAATCAAGCGTGAAATCAAGATTCTGCAGAACCTCGCCGGAGGAACAAACATCGTCACACTGCTAGACGTAGTCCGCGATCCTACATCCAAAACTCCCTCGCTCATCTTTGAATATATCAATAATGTCGACTTCCGTGTCCTATACCCTAAGTTTACAAATTATGATATCCAGTACTACATGTTTGAGCTGCTTAAGGCTCTCGATTACTGTCATTCAAAGGGAATCATGCACCGCGATGTCAAGCCCCACAATATCATGATTGACCACCCTAATCGAAAGCTTCGTCTTATTGACTGGGGACTTGCCGAGTTCTATCACCCGGAAATCGAGTATAATGTCCGGGTCGCCAGTCGTTGCTACAAGGGCCCTGAGCTTCTTGTCGACTTTCAAATGTACGACTACTCACTCGATCTTTGGTCTCTGGGAGCAGTTCTTGCTGCCATGATCTTCAAAATCGACCCCTTTTTCCACGGCTCTTCAAATACAAATCAACTCATCAAAATCGCCCAAGTCCTAGGAACTGACGACCTTTTCCGCTACCTCGACAAGTACGATACCTCTCTGCCGCCTGAGTACGATAATATCCTCGGCGTTTACCCCCGTCAGCCATGGACTTCATTCATCAACAAAACAAACGAGCAGTTTGCAACCCCTCGTGCAATCGACTTTATCGACAAGCTCCTCCGTTATGACCACCAAGAGCGCCTTACTGCTCAAGAAGCAATGGCCCACCCGTACTTTGATGATGTCAGGCCCATCTTGGCTCCGAGTGTATAGAGATTTGTGTTATTTATTTAAAAGAAAAAAAAAATTGTAATTTGTTAATATTTTTTATTTTTTTTAAAAAAAAAAAAAAAAAAAAAAAGAAATATATTCTTCCTCTTCCTTACTCTGGAGCTGTTACAAATGAAGACTCAGATAAACTAGGCGTCATGGTCGATTGATGTTGTTGTTGCTGATATGGAGACTGCTGATTATCGGACAGTGGCAACAGCTTTTCTGGCTGCCGTGAAGAAGCTGTAGATGACAAGACAGTGCCAGCACGAGTAGCCTGAGAAATAATTCCCAACGCTTGGTGCAGCAACTCACTCAGTTCCGCTGTACCCGCCCCACACTTGAACTCGTCCATGGCTGTACGCAAATACAACGTGGTTACTGCATTTTCAACCCGCGTTACAATATTGTCCAAAAACGCACCGTACTCATACTCATTGTTAGGGAGCATGATCCCCAACTGGTTGGTTGTCCGGTTCGTCGGACCTGGCTCTTTACTAGCAGAGGCACGTAAAGGAGGCATCGTACCGTCACTGGAAATCGTCGTGCACGGATTCAAACTAGAACAAATGCGTTCCAGGCGAACAGCACACAACCGCAGATTCGGCAGCTGCTCAAGCGATAGGGACCCGTACCGTGACGAGCGAACCTCACTACGCTTCTTTTTCGATAGCAAGTGGTGCTCAAAGCGGCCCAACAACGGCGTTGGGTATCCCAAGTTGATAAATTCGGGATTTTCCAGACCCTTGAGCTTATACTCGCCTAGCTCCTTAATCTCCCACCCAATACTATCCAAGGCCTTCATATCCTGCTCCAACTTCCACCCAAGCACTTCATCTCCGCCAAATGCTTCCGATAGTGTCATTTTGTTTTCCTTTACTGCTTCTAATGCTGCACCAACTTGTTTCATTTCAGACACAAAATCGGACGAAAGCGAAATCTGACCACCATCTGCAACCGCACTAATACGCGCTGCCTTATTGACCATGGGTCCAAAGTAATCCATACGCCGTGTAATAGGATCCTTCTCACACACAGGCGAGCCCCAATGAATACCCATGCGCACAGACAACCCTCGGTACATGGGCTGGCCCTTATCGTCCAAAATCTCGCATCCATCTTCCGTCTCCAAAATCTCCGCTGGCCATTCTGCAGACAGCAGCATCTGCTGCACATTGAAACACCAAAGCAGTGCAGAAGTAGGGGTCGGGAACGACACAACAAATGCATCGCCTTCAGTCTTGACCTCATAGCCGCCTGTAATACGCATCTGCCGACGCATAATACTATTGTGTAACTTGATGGCCGATCGCATCGCAGGAGCATGCGACTCCCATAAACTTGTCGAGTTTTTGATATCTGTAAACACAATCGCAAGCTCACCCTGTGGCGGCTCAACTTCGCCACCCAACCGTGCAAGTTCAGAGTCTTTGCCCTTATCACGGCGCTTCTTATGAGATGAGTACTCGTCACCCATCCGTGAAAACGTCCCGTCATAGTTCTCAACGGTAACGTCGCCACCACTAGTCCCATAAACAGGTGCTCCTATCTTGTTGGTGCGAGTCCGCTTGCGCGATAATCCAACTCCAATCACCATAACAAGAATCTTATCCGATGCACCATATGCAATGGCAAAGTCGCGCAGCTTGGCAGCAGCACGCATCAAGTCACCCTTTTCTGTGCGTGCAACGTCCACCGCTGTTTGGTATGACACATATTCCCAAAGCTGCTTCGATGCCAAAATAATCATCTCATCGGCATCAGAAATTTCCCACACCGTAATAGAGGGGCTGGCGTAGATATGAGGAATCAAATTGTAAAAACCAATTGCACGAGAAACGTCGAGCAAATCGTCCAACTGGCCAGTAGACGAAATAATACCACCAGACCGACGAATCCGCTGGAGCTCCTTTTGCGACGTAGGGTCGTGACGAGTAGTCAGCACGCTAAACTCATTAGCAACGTGCACCATAATGGCCATTGAGTCACCGGCATTGGCAATATAAAGCTTATTGTCGGCAACATAAACGATAGTAGCGCATGAACCTGTCATGCCGTCTCGGTACTCAAGATTAATGGCTGTAGATGAGCGGTGACCAATAGGTGTGTGTGCAACCTCCTCAGTCGGCATGAGAATAGTATTTCCAATTTCCTTATTTGTATTCAAAAAGGCACGGCGCAGAGCATCTTCTACCTGCTCTTCTTTGCGCAACTTTTTGAGTTCATCTTGGAGAATGCTGCCAAAAGTCTCCTGCACAAGCTTCGACACTTTATTGCCAGATTGAATTTCAGTGCCGCGGCCATCAAATAAGCCTATCACAATCTCGTTTTCTTTGCCGCGGAATCGCTCTAGAACCATGTCTGTAACTGACAAGTTATTGCTATGACCAAGAGAGTCTGCAAGACCATATGGATACGAGTGAATCTCCGAACCATAAGTACGCACACGGCAATTTGCAGATTGGTCAGGGACAGAGAGTGCAGTCAAGGTAACATCCATGAGACCGAGCACTCGGATATTTGACAAGACTGTAAAGTCACTCATGTCAACTTCTCGGCGGTAAGAAGAGTTGGGAATGTTAGGACTGTTGACTTCAAGTCGTCTGTTACCTGAAAAGTTGAGATACTTGAGATCGTGGTTAAAACGCCAGTTCCAGTCATAGGGCCAATTGTGAATATTGTACTTTAAAATGTTGGAGCCAACATCCAAAATATTTAAATGCGCAATCTTGCCCAGCTCGGCTGGGAGATTATGAAGCTTGTTGCTATTGACGTGGAAAACCTGAAGTCCTTGCAATGCTTCCATGTCGTCACCAGGAAGAGACGAAATTTTATTGCCGGAAAGATAAAGCTCGACAATGTGAGAAAATCGACGTAAAGCTCCATAAGGCACTTCACTGATATCATTGTAAGAAAGATTGAGGATTTGAAGCTCTGTAAGCAAAGAAAGTTCGTCAAAACAATCCTCCGTGAGTCGGTTATCACAAAGAATAAGTGTCAACAAACTCTGAGCCATTGGTGAAGGTTGACGGCGGTTACCCAAGGAGTAAACATTGGACTCACTTGTAGACGTGGATGTCTTTGGAGATCTAATAATTGGCGTGGCAGCAGTAGCAGTAGCAGCACATGCACCTGCACCTGAGTTGACGGGCTTAATAGCTGCCGGGGGTTTGTACTCGTCATAGGACGAAGAAATAGAAAGTGTGGAAGGCCGGCGGGCTTCTGGAGTAGCAGGCATCGTACTGTTTGCTGCTAGGATATCATTAACCATAGCGCTAACTTCTTTGCGCTCAGAATCCGAGCTGGAGATACTCGAATGGGAGGTAGGATTTTTAGGGAAACTGTCTAGCAAGTTAGAAGCCACATTGAGTAAAACAAGTGAGCCCAGGTTCCAAATTTCTGATGGTAAATGCAAGATATTGTTGCTGTGAAGATCCAAGTGAACCAAATTATGGAGCTGACCAATTTCCTCGGGAACAGAGTCAAGAGAGTTGGCCACTACACTTAGGTATTTGAGATTCTTGAGTGTACCAATTTTAGGAGGAAGTGTGGTAATGTGGTTTTTATCAAGAACTAACCGCTCGACCAAAGGAATGCGATCAATGAGAGCATCAGGTACACCTGCCATTTGGGCCTTTGAAAGGTTAATTGCAGTGAGAGTGGAATGAGCGCCGCGGAAATCAATATTGGTGATAGGATTACGGTCAAAGTAAAAGAGTTTTAGTCTGGGGAATTCAGCGTCAAACGAGGTGATGGAATTTTTCGACACATATAAAACTTCAAGCTTGGGGAGGCGCGACAAGAGGTCAATGTTTTGGAGTTTATTGTAACGTAAATCCAACTCTTTAAGAGACACCAAGTTGACAAATGTAACGGGGAGTCGTTTTGACAAGTATGAATTAGAAATGGCAAGCTTTTCAAGATTAACAAGTTGGCCAATTTCATCTGGCAGGTCGGCAATCTTGTTAAAAGAAATGTCAAAGTCGACGAGTGAAACAATTTTGCAAATAGCGTCTGGAAAGTCTTCAATATTGTTTGAAGAAAGATTGAGATACCGTAAAGATTTGAGCAGAGAAAACGAGTCCGGAATGCTTTCGAGGAGATTACCCTGGAGGTCAATAAAAGTAAGATTGGAAAGTCTATGAAAATCAACATCTTCAAGGCTTTTAATTAAATTGTCTTTAATGTCCAAAAACCCCAATTGTGGAGGGAGAATAATATTTGGTGGGAAGGTGTAAGACTGATTGTGGACATAACGAATTTCTCTCAAGTTATTGCAAGCCTGTATAAAATCTGAGGGAATTGAAATAGAAGGATTTTCAGAAACGTCGAGAAACTCAATTTTAGATGCATGTGGATAAAAAAATACTGGAATAGTTTGGAGGTCCATGTGTTGTAACTGAACGTGGCTAAAGTCGCGCGAGAGAATAGCCTTTTCATTTTCAGTAACAGTGCGAATCTTGGAACGCGAAATTTTAAATCGACAGAGGTATGACAGGTCCTCACGACCAACTTCGCCAATGCGATCTTTTTCCGTGTAACCCATGAGCTCTAGCAAAGAGCTTTGGTAAACAAGGGGTGTTTCTTCAGGGTTTAAAATGCGGGTGAGACCACCGATGCGGACCGTCAGCTGATGACCAGCAACCGAGCCCATATAAAACTTTTTGCCAATAAGCTGGATGAGTTCCTTGACAGTGACATCGACACGGCAAAATAGCGTACCAAAAGTGTCATCTTCGCGGAAAATGCGGACGCAGTGTTTTTCATTAGGATTGCGGGCTGGGAACGGGCTAACTTTGCTTGGAGCAAAGCTAGGGACAATATTCCAAGATTCTGGGGCGGTCCAGTTAGCAGCCGGGTCAGCCGTAGGAGTAGCAGTGGTAGGATTGCTAGAGGCCTGCGGGATTTGTGGGGCCATGGTAGTGGTAGGCGTGAGCTCGGAGGTGGCGCTCCGACGCATTGGGGTTGAGGTTGGGGAAACTGCGGCGGAAGAGTGTTTTTTCTTTGTTGTTGATGTTGTAAAAGTTTCTTCTGTGGGTGAAAAGGTTGCTGTACGGCCATTGGATGGAGGTTTGGGATTGACAATGCCGCCCATGTGCTCAAGGTCAGTGTCGAGGGGATAAAAGTTTGGGTTGGAGTAGATGGATTGCATTTTGGAGGCGTGTGATTGTGTAGTTGCTGTTGAAGAAGATGAAGAAGACACTAATGGTGGAGCAGCAGTTGTTGAAGGGATTGGAGAAGATGGAGCCGATTCCGAATGCAATGATGAAGGTCGCGACGAGGAGGAAGAAGTGTGTGTATGAGAACCAAGAGAAGTCACGTCGTTAGTAACAGTAGCGACACCATTATTGATTGCTCCATGAACATGATGTAAAGCCTGGCGGCCGGTATTTAAAATTGCATAAGATTGCCGGTGAAGAATATTATGGGGGGCGTTCGGGATAGAGAGTGTAGATTCGGAACGCTTATGTCTAATGCTAGAAGCCGAAGATGATGGCGCACTATTATCACTTGAATCCTCAGAAGATTCCCTACGGTATATAAGACGGCCAAGAAAGGAAGGTTTTTTGGATTTGCGTTTAGGGGGCTGGAGAGAAGTAGTAGAAGATGGGGGAGGAAAGTGCAATGGAGTTGAAAGGCCAATGTCGCTGCTATGGCGAGGAAGTGGGTTAATGGCAGGGCCATCTGCATCCCTGGCGTCAAAGACTTGCTGAGGGTCAGGGAAAACCACTGGTGTAATTGGCCTACTGCTGCTTCTTGAGCGAGTTTGCTGGGGGAGTTGTGATGGGGGGTCCGGATCAGGAACCACAAGAGGAGAAATGGGGTCGCTATTTTGACGAACACTAGATGCATGGGAAGTGCTTCTGTCAAGGGTCGGGCCCGGGTCCTGAGAATCCATTTCGCCAGTTACAGTTTTTGTGCTACTGACGCTGTCGGAATGTGCTTTTTTAGAAGGGCCAGAAAAGGAAGAGAGAGGAGAAACGTCTTCAATGTCTTTAATAGTCAAAAAGGCACTTGGGGTGCAAGTATTTGGGGATAGAGGTGGAGGAGAGGCGGGTGAAGGTTGTTGATATTCTGTAGGGTTTAAAGCAAAATGGATTGTTTTATGTGGTGGTGGTGATTGTGTATCCAAAGCTGGTAAAACATTGGATGGTCTGTGATTACCTGATGAAAAGTTTGTAGTGGATTTCCTTAAAGGCATGCTTGGGAAGGGTGCAGATGAGTTTATGGATGAGGTAGATTGATTGTTTGTAGTGGTGGTGGTGGTGGTGGTAGTGTTAAAATTTGTATTTGGGTTGCCGCCGGCTGTGTATGTGCTGCCATTGCCGCTTCCATAAAAGTTTGTTGTTGTTGTTGTGCTGCCACCACTGCCTTCAGTGACGCCCAGTAAAGTAGTCGGAACCGGTGGAGAGGAGGAGGAAGAGGAGGAAGAGGAGGAAGAACTTGTTGTGTAGGTGGTACCTGTGACATTGGGGCCCACCCAAGAAGATGGAGTGGCACCAGCCACACCGAGGGAAGTTTTCCTTGGGAAAGCAGTAGAACGAGAGTCATCTTCAAGGTATGAGGCGGAAAAAAGTGAAGAGGATGAGTTAGACGGGGCGGTTGGGAGTGAGGCGTTTGTGCTGACAGAAGTTAATGTGGAAGAAAGGTCTTGTTGGATAGGAATTTGTTGAAGAAATTGGACTTGGGTAATGGCAGCACCACCTCCTCCACGGACTGACATTCGTTGTTTTCTAGAAGTAAGTTGTTAGTGATGGTTTTTTTTTTTCAATCAATGGGTTAAATTACTTACGGTTTTATAGTATGTTCTGGTTCTTCATCTTCATCTTCATTTGTATGTTTTCGGAGCAATTTTGAAAATGGTCTGTGTTTACGCTTTGAAGAAGAGGCAATGGAAGGCGGATGGGATGTAGTTCCAAGAGAAGACTGAGAAGATGTAGCAGAAATTGGAATACTTCCTTCATAGATTGATGGAGGAGCAAGTTGTTTTGGAGATGGTGGTCTAGAAATCAAGTGTCCGGCAAGAACTTGTCGATATTCAGGATGAGATTGTTGTTCTTGTTCTTGTTGTTGTTCTTGCGGGGACTGCTGAGACGCACCTTTTAAGTCAAAAGGCGATCTCATTGGCATTGTGAAGGATTTTTATAAATGAGATTTTAATAGTATTATATGAAATTTTTGATAAATGTATATATATATATATATGAATATAATTTAAAGAGAAAAAAAAAAAAAGATTAGAAATTTTAATGTTTTTTTTTTATAGTTTCTGAAAGGGAAGGTTTTAAAGAATGAACTTTTTAGCAAGATGAGTTTTTCAACAACTTTTTTTTTTTTTATTTATTCTGCCAAATTGATAAGGGCTGTTACAACATTATTATTATTACATTTTTACATATATATATACCTTACACTTTAAGACTTAAAGACCATTTCCAACCTTGGCGTACTTGAGCACGTCATCGTAAACTGGGTACCGGCGTTGAGTGCTGACAGGAATACTAGAGGCCACAGAATCCAAGCGTTCCGGATCAAGTTCCGCATAAACAATTTCATCACCCTCTGCAGCCTCAGCCACAATCTCACCCCAAGGATCAACAACAAGCGAATGGCCATAAGCGTGGTAAGAAGATGAGAGATCACGGGAAGGTGAACACATGAGAACATATGTCTGGTTATCGACGGCTCTGGCGCGTGCAAGCAAAGACCAGTGAAGAGGACCAGTGGTAGTGTTAAAGGCACCTGGATAAATCATGGCAAAAGCTCGTGGGGTTCCTGTTGCAGGGTTTGCACGGGTAGATACAGCGGCAAGTTCAGGGAAGCGAACATCGTAGCAAATGCCGAGTCCTACACGGCCATAAGGGTCGAGAGAGAAAGAAGTTGCATGATCACCAGGAGAAAGGATATCAGACTCCATGAAACGGATTTTCCCAGGAACGTTAATGTCAAAGAGATGGACTTTCCTATGGGTGGCCAGCAGACGGCCATCAGGAGCGAATGAGATGTTTGTGTTATAGTACTTGGGGGATCCATTTTCAGAAACAACTTCAGGGATACTTCCTCCAATCAAAAAGACTTTTTGTTCTTTGGCAATAGAAGAAAGGTATTGTGTGGTTTCACCTGCAGGAATGGATTCAGCATATTTGGGGAAGGCAGAGACTGCATAAGGAGAGTTAAAGCATTCTGGGAGAACAACAAGCTTTGCACCGTTGGCAGCTGCTTGAGCAATTTTAGCCTTGACAGTTGAAAGATTTGCAGCCTTGTCAGCAGTTACAGTGAATTGGATAAGAGCGATCTTTAAAGCTTTTGATAGAGAAGCCATTGTGAATGAATTATATTGTATAAATTGAAAGTTATTCTTTTCTTTCTTTCTTTATTTCTTTAATATTTTGGTGGTGGTGGTGGTGGTGGTAGTTGGTGGTAGATTTGAAAATGAGTAATTATGTCCGCAGCGGCACCCCCCGCGGGGAACTTTGCGCGCGGCTCAACAATTTTTTATTTATTTTATTTAATTTAATTTAATTTATTTCCTATTAAATGCAATAACTTTTAAATACACGCCGCTTTTTTTTTTTTTTTTTTTTTTTTTTGAGATTCCGGGGAATCCTTTGAAGGGCTTCTTTCTCTCTTTTTTTTTTTTAATTGCCGAGTGGTAGAGAATTTGAGCGGCTCAGTATATATATCAAAAATATTACGATAATATATGAAAAACCTTTACAACTACTACTACTACTAATAAAGCTGGTTTGCTATATATTATGACTTAGAGGAGTGGATTAATTGGTTTTTTTTTTTTTTGTCTTTCTATAAAAGGTCATGGATATCTCTTTAAATTCTCATTAATCTTTTTTTTTCTTAATAAAATTATATATATATATATATAGTCATCTGCTTGATAATTTTTTTTATTTTATTTTACTAATTAATCTTTCCTCCATCTTTTTTTTTTAAAAAAAAAACAATCTCATTAATAATAATAATAATAATGAACACGCTTATCCATCAAAACTTCGAGTCAGAGCCTATCATTCTTAACAGAAGAACAATAACAAACTTCTTTAAGAAATCGTCTCCAAGAAATCTCCTAAGACGAAATGCTTCTTCATCTTCTTCTCCTTCTGCATCCTCTTCCTCATCTTCAGCTTCTCCATCTACTGCCTTAACTGATAACAATATTTCTTCCTCTTCAACACCACAAATCCCCAGAATCTCAATGCCTGAACCTGTTTCTGCATTTGATGCAATGATGCGCAACTATAGAGCAAATGATGACTGTTTAACCATCAACGAGCTTAACATTATCTTCCCCCGCGTTCCCTACGGATCTTTGGTCTGGGCACCTGGTAATATGCTACGCAAACCACGCCCACAACACAATCACTCAAAACATAACCATCCATCATATCTCTGCGATTCACCTACACCTGAAAAATGTACTTGTCCAATCGATCATGCCTGTGCAATCTGCTTGAATGTCTTTGCTTGTGGAGATGTGGTCCGTGTCCTGCCGTGTCACCATCTACTACACTCCGAATGTCTAGACCCTTGGTTTACTAGTGTTCGTGCAGAGTGCCCATTATGCAAGCGAGGATACCGCGAAAACGCAGATAGGCTTCGTGCGCTGTTCCAAGAGCTGCGGTTAACCCGATGATGATTTTTTACCAGCATGTCTCTTTCTTTCTCTCTTTTTATATCTTATAAAGTTGTTGTTTTTTTTTTATTTGTTTGTCTGCTTGTTTGTTTGTTTGCTTGTTATTTAGTTCTTTTTTTTTCAAATATATGATCCTTCTATATACTATTTTAAAAAAATAAAACAAAAAAAAATTGATGAAATACCGGTACTTGAATGCCGTTGAGTCTTCTGGACTTCCCCAGATTTTGGTTGTTTTGTCATCCTGATGTTTGTTTGCTTGATAGTCCACGGGACACAACACAAAAAAAAAAGTCAACCTTTCAGCTTTTAATAGAAAGAAAAAAAAAAAAAAAAAAGGTCTGCTGCTGCTCATCATCATTAATAATAATAATAAAATAATAAATAAAAAATTAAATTTCAATTTCAATTTCAATTTTTATTAAGCCACGCATGACCCGAACCGATCACACGGGACTCTCAAAAATCACTCGGAGCACCTTGTCGTGTTGTGTACAAACAAATATAAATAAATAAATACTTTGGTGGACATATTGCATATATACACAACCACCAAATTCTTAAGTTTGTCGCTTCTGATATTCTTTGGTGGTCTTGGCATAGGAGCCCCGGCCACTGCCAACCGATATATTAAGATATAAACAAAGTAGTGATATATACATATTTATATAGTTTGGTCATAAAAACCACCCGGCCCACGATCCTACTAAAAACAATCTAAACTAAATCAAAAAAAAAAAAAAAAAAAATTCCCTTCTTGTCAATATCTTGAAATATTTTTTTATTTATTTAAACCCCACAGGGGTTTATTTGTACATCTTCAAGCAAATGGCGGGGTGGAATAGTAAAGCCCTTACTTTAGTACTTATATATATTGTAAGCTCTTCTTCTCCTCATTATCAAAAAAAAAAAAAAAAAAAAGTCCCGACACAAAACTGTGCCCCGCCATAAATATGCCCCGCCATGAAAAAAAAAATAAAATTTTGTGTGTCTCATATTTCTGTTTAAATTGACTATATATATATATATATATATATGAGATTCAAGACAAGTATCTGATATTTACTATTCAACTAAGTTTCACATAAATAATTTTTAATCCTGATCAACACTAGCGAGACAAATCTATCTTTTACCGTAATTCTCAGTTTTTTTTTTTTTGGGGTTATGTTGCTTATTCAATTTTTTTTCCTCGTTTTGCTTTTGGTTTCTCTTTTCTATTCTAGCTAAGATTTTAAAAGGATAGTTTTTTTTTTGTTATAAAATGTATGGCTTAAGGATATTAGTGAATGTGAATATAGTAAATTAGATAAGAATAAAAATTAATATTAAAAAAAAAACTTCAAGAGATTTTAAGTATCAATATATATATATATATATATAAATGACATGAAATATTCCTCAAATGGACTGTAAATCTAAAGTCTATAAGTAACTTAAAGTTGTATATTTGCAAACTAGTAAAAGGTTTATTGATAAAAAGGATATGACGTAAAAACATTTTGAAAAAAAAAAAAGGAGGACCATGTTTCCAAGTCATTGTTGATTTGAATATCATAATTGAATTATATTTATTAATGACTTTCTTTTCAATATTATATTTTGTGGAAATGTGTTGAAGTGGTTGTGCTTTAGTTAAACTAATGCTTGTTTAGACATGCATCATATATAAACTGAACTGGCCTTGGTTAACACAATCACCGGCTCATGAATGAAAAAAAAACTTTTTTAATTAAAACAATCTACTTCTATAAATTTCTAACCCATTTCAATATTATATATATATATATATTTGGTAGTAATAGTAGTAGTAGGAATCTTCTAGCCACCAGAAAAGAAACAAGGTTCAATAAGAATGCCATAACAGTATACAAGCTAATCATTTGATTTCACACAATTTCACACAAGACTGTGTACAAGAAATAGAGAAAAAAAAGAAGAAGAAAAAATAGACTACTTTTGCTTTTAATTTTAATTTTCTGTACAAAATTAATCATGGATAAATCAATATAAAATATCTATTTTTAAAGCAAAATAGTGTGTTTGTGGAGAGGGGGAAAGAAAAAAGTCTTGTTAGTATGGCTTTTATTCAAGTTGACCTTAATTCATTAATTAAAAAAAACTATATTTAAAATATTAAAAAAAACATAAAACATAAAATATTAAAAAAAACATCAAACATAAAACATTAAAAATAAAACATAAAACATAAAATTATTTGTCTTTTTGAGATTCTTCAAGTTCTTCTTGTTCCTTAAGAGCTTGTTTTTCATCCACAATCACTGGAGGTTCATACTCTGGTGTTTCTATGGGCTTTTCTGTTACTGCTTCAGTAACTTCTTCTGTAACTGTTTCTGCTTTTCCATCTTCTTCTTTCTTATCTTTAGTCTCAACTTCTTCTGGGTTTTTAAGAATCAGGTACCATGCATGGACAATACCAGGGAACCCACCAAGAACTGTCAAAGCAACGTTGATGGCCAAATCGGCAGATACACCACGCTTAATGTAAACAGGAATAGGAGGAACAAACTTGGCAAGAATTGCAAGAATCACATCTGAAGAAATAGCAGTTGTGCGTGGATCAGCTTTAGGACCTGTGATCCGTTGAGCCAAGCGCTTGTACATTGGCGTTTTATTATGACAGTGACAAACTGTACTGTTGGTGCTGTTAGTACTGTTGGTGTTGTTGTTGTTGTTATGACAGAAAGTGGATTGAGTGATAGTTGGGCAAGACATTGTTAGTTGATTTGTTGTGAGAATTTTGATATATTGCTATATTGAAATATTGATATATTGATATATTGAAATATTAAAACAAAAAAAAAACATTTAAATGATTGTTATCCATATTTATACTTAAATTTTTTTTTCTAACGTGGATTTGACCGAACTTGTGAATAAAAAAAAAAAAAAAAAAAAAAAAGAGAACAGAAAAGCCTGACGTCGAGGCTTGTGAAATTTTCAAAGACCCGTTTGAGTGTCAGTCGAGTCAGCATAACGTGAATTGACTGTGTAGAGAATAAATACTAAGCAAGGCTTAGCTCGGACCAGCCGCGGGTCAGTAGAACATCTCCGCGGAAAGTTTTTTTTTTTTTTTTCTTATGATTTTCCTCAACTTTATAACAATTCAAATTGAATATAAACAACTTCTTTTTTTTTTTTTTTTGAAAAATTCTTCATATGAATTCTTCCTTACCCTTTTGCGAAAATCATTCGGAATAACAAAAAAAAAAAAACTCGTTGGTGTGGCTGTTTATTTCTCGTGAGTGTGTTGAATGAAACCAGTTTGTTAGTAATTCTGACAATTCCACCATTTTTTTATATATAATTTTTCTCAATCACACACAATCTCTAAATAGCACCCCCTACAAAAAATAAAAAAAAAAATAAAAAAAGAAGTTCTTCCTCTCCCTCCCATGGCATTTCCTATTATTGGCTCGGATATATTTTCAAGCTCGGTCCGAACACGATGTTTTTCCGAAATTCCCAGGCTCACTGGGCATTTAAAAGTTTGAATACCAGAATACAAATAAATTAAAACGCGAAAAAAAAAAGATTATAAAAAGATCCAGATATCTTTCTATTTGTAAAAAAAAAAAAAAAAAAAAAGAGTTGTTGTGTGGTGATAACGACCTTCAAATCAATCAATAGATTTAATAGACTTAATAGACTTAAATCCTTTTACAAAATGACCAACTTAGATGCCTTGAAACCCGAAACTGTAAGTCTTCATCACTTACTTCATATAACCATCTGATTAACCCTCATACTCTCTCCTTCTCCATGTAGAACCTTGAGGACTTACCCGACTTTAAAGACCTCCCAGTGACCATGACCAAGCCTCCTCACCCGGACTGGCGTCCAGGGCAAGGCGCAGTTGCAGAGGTTTCTGGAAAAGGTCATGACAATGCACCATGGAAAACACATGCTAAGATCGGGTTTGATCCCTACGACCCGACGCGTGGACACGCAAAAAATTACTTTTTTGCAGCATCAGGTATTACCCCACGTCCCATCGGCTTGGTGTCTACAGAAAGTAAAACCGGACACCGTAACTTGGCCCCGTTCACGTATTTTCAAGTGGTTAGCAATGATCCACTGGTATTTGTTCTGGGCATTTCGCAAAACTCTGGCAAAATTAAGGACACTTCACGAAATTTGCAAGAAACAGGTGAAGCTACAGTCAGCATTATTTCTGAATGGTTTGTCGAGTAAGTTTTATTTTTTATTTTTATTTTTATTTTTTATTTTTTATTTTTTCTAGTCCAAGATTAAATCCCCACAACTAACTTTTTTTTTTTTTTTTTTTTTAGAGCTGCCAATTACACCAACATTACACTTCCTCCAAGTCTCTCCGAATGGAAAGTCTCTGGATTGACCCCAGTGGAAAGTTTACGCGTAAAACCTCCACATGTTTTAGAAAGTGCTATTTCCTTTGAAGTCAAAGTCCGCCAAACTATCCCTATCGAGGACGTTACAACTCCAGGCAAAATCAACTCGACTGTGTTCCTATTACAATGCGAGTATGTCCATGTGCGTGAGGATATTGTGGATGACCCCAAAAACCCAGGCAAAGTTGACTTGCAGAAACTCAGGCCAGTATCACGTCTTGGAGGTGTCACGTACGGGCGTACTACAGAGACCTTTGAGTTGCCCAAGTTTTTCTATGACGCGAACAATTTGTCTGAGGATCTTGAAAAGATTTTGTAGTTACCAGATGTAAAAATATAGATACCGGGTAATTAATTATGTAACTATGAGGTAACTTTTGGGTAACCTGTGAAAAATTTTAATGTCACAGCCCAACCACCGCTTTTTTTTTTTATTTTTTATTTTTTTTTTCTTCATTACCACCACCAATCACCACTACCACCACCAACTTCACACAACTACAACTACAATGGCCCGCCAAAACTTTGTCGGAATGGTCGTGTCTCACGGCAAGATGGACAAGACCATTAAGGTCCGTGTCCAGCGTATTAAATTCAACAAGCTTGTCAACAAAAACGTTGTTCGGTTCACCGATTTCCTTGTGCACGATGAGGCTAACAAGTGCAAGGAAGGTGATGTGGTTCGCATCGAGTACGTGCGACCTCTTTCTGCCCGCAAGTCCTTTTCCGTCACCGAGATTCTCAAAAATAAGGGTCTGTCGTGGATCAAGTACCGCGAAGATGCACCAGCCGTTGTTGCTGCCGAGGAACTGCGCAAGGTTACCCAATACAAGCGGGACCGTGAGAGTCGCCTGGGTCTGGACGGAACCCCAACTGTTTCTGAGCAGCTTGATGTTTTGCGAACTGCCTACAATACCCAGAACTTTGTTCCAGAACATGCTCGTACTGAGGAGCAAAAGGAGGCTGTTGCCAAGGTCATTGCCAAGTATACTCCTGATGGATTTCTTCCATCTTTTGCCTCGGGTCCTCTTTATGATCTGCCGATCGATAAGCTTCGTGCTGAACTCAAGGCTCTTGATGGAACCATTGAGCAGGCTTCCTTTTCTAAGCATGCTGCTGCTGTTCTGCGTGACGAACCTGCGCGTGCTGATGCCATTCTGCGTGCCATGGGCAAGATTGATCCTTCGGCGGTCCCCCGTAACATTAAGAAGAATCTGCTGATGAAGTACTTTGTCAAGACGCTGGGCGAACAGAAACAAGAGGCTACTGCTTAATGGGGAGAGAAAAAAGGGTTGTTGAAGTTTTGTGTATATAGTAGAATGGAAATAAATAAATAAATATAAATAAATTGGACGAAAAAAAAAAAAAAAAAAAAAAAAAACATTCAATCTTTTCTTTTCTTGTCTTTTCTTTTCTTCACACCCACTTTAATGCTCCATATAAGATTCTTCAAGCCTCCAGCATGGCAGGGTAAAAAGTCGCCCGATCTAAATGCAGTTCTCACGGTGGCCAATGATTTGGGTGAAGAGCCCTTTTACGGGTCTGCTGAACTATGTGCAGATGTCTTTGCAGGAGGCCGTAAGCTCAAGTCGGTTACACTTCGCTGGACCCCAGGCATGCGCGCTGTTCCGCTCAAAGTCCCTGGATCGGTTTTTGCTGCGGTTCCCAAAAAGACTCCTGTAGAGGTCCGTGTGAGTGTCCCAGACCCTAAAACAGCAGTAAATTTGTTGTTAGACGAATCCGCTCAACAAACTCTACAATTTCTCCCTGTATCTTCGGTACCCTTCACTTCTACCCCAGAGAAAATAGCTGTCCGCAAAGTGCCGACATCTTTTAAAGACCCGCTAACTATCTACGAAGAATCCCAGGAAAGCATTGCGCGGCACCTGTGGGATGCAGGCCTCTACACTGCCGACTTGTTTCTGCAACATCCAGACTCTCCCATTGTGGATCTTCTCGAAGACTCCACTACTAAATGGCCACCTCAAACGGTCCTTGAGCTTGGGGCCGGGTGTGGGTACGTTGGCCTGGCATTTGGTGCAGCATATCCTGGCACCCGGATTGTTTTGACAGATTTAGACGATGCACAGGCTATTTGCACGCGCAACATAGCTGCCAATGCGTCAAGAATTGCGCCATCAACTGCAGAGTTCCAAGTACTAGACTGGGAAGAAGAAGAGAGTCCGCTGGATCCTGTGCCGGACCTAGTTCTTGTGACGGATTGCACATATAACCAGGCGTACTACGGAGCGTTGCTGGCGATGTTGGCGCGTGCAGTCAAAACAGGTGCGACAGTATTGTTAGCCCATAAGCATCGTAATGACGCCGAGTCAAGTTTTTTCGAGAGCCTGGACGCACACCCAGGGCTCTGTCTTGTTCGCCGGTTTGATATGGAAGTAGCTGGGAGTCCATTGACAGTTGTTGTTTGCCGATAGTATTAATAGCAATAGATGGCAAATCAGTACTTTTGAAGAAGAAGAAGAAGAAGATGATGATGATGAATAAGATGAAGGGTTTTAAGAGTTGTTGTAAATAATAATAATAATAATAATAATTAAAAAAAAAATCTCGGTACGTGGCTGTTTAAAAAAAAAAAAAAAAACACCGCACCATCTAAAAAACTTTATATAGTCTGGACATAAATAATTATTTATATTTAAAATATCTTTTTAACTTCACTACAATAATAATAATAATAATAATAATATACAACAATTATAATACACCCTATCCTATCCTCTTTTCTTTTCTCTCACACACAGAAAAAAACTTCAATCTCAACCATTGAAATATGTCTGGTTTTGACGCCATGCTTGATCCATGGGCAGGCCATGGCGGAACTCATACACGTAGCCCGAGTTCTCATGATTCAGTGTCGCTAACTTCTCCGGCCGCTCTTGCCGAGCTCAATGAAGAAGAAGAAGAACAAAATAGCAAACCTACCACGACCCCCACGCCGCCAAACAACTCTTCTTCCTCTCTAGGAACCGATGGAGCCATGGCCCGCGCAAAGGCCTCTTATGGTTCTACTACCGTTGATGACGAAAGTGTACTTGACGATGACTCGTTAGATGCTACTGCAAAAGCTACAAAACTTCAACAAATGCTTTTCGCGGTCGCAATCTCCGGCGACTTTGCGGCTGCACGGCAACTCCTTGGTGGACCTGCGGCCGCATATCTCGACATGAATGCCCGTGACCCTCAAACTGGAGCCACAGCTTTGATATATGCCAGTGCCTTTGGTCATTCTGACATTGTACTGGAACTGCTGCGCTATGGCACACTACCTGATATTCAGGATAAGGCCGAGTATACGGCACTAATGTGGGCCATGACCAACCAGCACGAAATGACGGTCCGAAATTTACTCGAAAATGGTGCTCGCATCGATATAAAAACCTCTGCAGGTCGCTCAGCTTTGGATCTTGTTAGTACAAACTCTAGCTTACATCAGTATTTGGAAGATCATGGGTACATTGAAACAGAGCCCAAGGACTTTTACGATAATGGCCGTCACCACGACGATATGCTAGAGTCGGCAGCTTATAACTTAGACGTTGATTTAGACCATTTGGGATTGGACGACCATATTTCAGAAGAAGATGCAGATGACTTTCAGTGGGAACGATGCCGCCCAGACCAAATGCTAGTTTTCCGCGAAGATGATATTCCTACAATTTTAGACGCAGGCATCACAAACATGCAACCCAAAAGATCCAAGGGCCAAAAACCCATTCCAGCAAACTTGCTCTTTTTATGTTGCCGCTACGCTCACTACTATGGAACTCCAGAGATTCTGGCCAACTTGTTAATTCCAGCGTTTCAACGGATCAGAGCCCAAGTTATGGGTAAGACAGAGGACATTGCATACCTGTCCTTTTGGCTCTCTAATTCCACGCTACTGTTATACTACCTGCGCAAGGACCCTGGGTTGCTAGAATCTACCCCTGACTACCAAAGCACCCTTGCTGAACTCATTGCCGACATTACAGTTTTAATTTCACAAGATGTAGAGCGCCGGCTGGATCTTGTACTAGATGCCTCAGTATTGGATTATGAAACCTTGCCTGGACTTGACGATATTCGATACCAGTCTGAATGGCGGTTTTTCCGACACCATCGAAAGTCCAAGTCACATAAGGAGGAGATGGAAGAAGGATACCGCCCACCGTCACCCAAATCCCTTATGCGTCCATCTCCACGCAACGTCACGTCGATTCTCGGGTCGGTATTGTTTGTTACGGACTTGTACGATATTCATCCAATCATTGCCCAAGAGCTCATGTCACAACTATTTTACTGGCTAGGTGCAGTGCTTTTCAACAGACTGTTAGCCCACCGCAAGTACCTTGCACGGTCGCGTGCCATGCAAATCCGACTCAATGTGTCTGCGCTGGAAGACTGGGCACGTGCAAACAACCGGAGGCCTGCGGATGTGGACGATGAATTCCACGATGGGGCTGGATCGCACTACCCGTCATTGACAGAATTGTGTCGGGTGCACATGACACCACTTGTGGAGATGCTGCAATGGCTACAAATTTTTACAGGTTTTGGGTCAGATATGACAAGTGTTGTTGCGACGCTGCAGCAACTATCTGCATTAACTCCTCGACAGTTGTTGCATGTTGCCAAAAAATATCGTGCAGAAGTCGGCGAGCCAGGATTGTCCAAGGAATACAAGACATATTTGGGGCAGCTCAATCTGCATGATCAACGGGCCAATTCGCATGGAGCCAAGGTGCTTTCAGCAACTATTCATACTGTATGTACAGGGAAGGAAGATGAAAAGGAAGAAGATGAGAAAAAGGAACCTCCCCGCAAGTCGATTGATAAGGAAGTCCCCAAGATTCTTCCGGGTCATGATAAAAAGCATCTTTCTACAGACCCTCCACAAGAAGAAGAAAAAGAAGAAGAACAAGATCTGCCAACAGCCTCAGAAACCGCAGTAGCACGCGCCAACTCAACCAAACCCGTGAGACCCAGCGTACGACTTGTTCCTCGAACCCATGGAGCTATAGATAACAATGACGATGATGATGATGATGACGGGACACCTGGGACTGGAGATTTATATATGGATGCTTCTGCCGTTCTACCATTTGTGGTACCAACACTGCGTGAGATGATTGTTGCATGGGGCCGTGGGTTAGGAGGAACTCATGCAGTACGTGCACGTAACTATGAGCCAACACTACCTGCAGAATTTTTAGACAAGCTTGACTTGGGTGATGGGACGACTGCAGGGCTTGGACTAGAAGATGTTGGAGGGTCGAGTGTGGTGAAGCATGTAGAGACGAAGGAAAGTAGTACACTTGGGCGGGGAGGGAATGTAAATTCAATTTTTGGCGGGGTTGCAGTACCGGAACCATCGGCTTCAAAAGAATGGGGTGAATTTGATAATGATGGTGTAGAGAAGGACGAGTTCCGGAATGTGTGGTAAAATTAATGCTACTATTGACTGTGTAAGTTTTTGTTTATAGAAAAAAGAACAATACATGAATACATGAATACATGAATACATGAATAATTGAAACCAAAAAAGGCTGTTTATTTGTTTGTTTATTTGTTTGTTTGTCTGTTTTATTAAAATATTTGCATTTGAAATTTAAATATGCTAAAATGCGTAACTTTCATACTGAAATGCGTACATACTATCACTGCTGCATGGCTGGCTGCGTTGGCTGCTTTTTTTTTTTTTTTTTTTTTTAATCCATAAAAGTCCTCCCAAAGCCGCCCAAAATAAAAATAAAAAAAAAAACAGCCAGCCAGCCATTTTTTTTTTTGACCTCTTGAAAATACACCCACACACATACACACATACACAAAACATCGCAGACTTAATTTTTTTTTTTTTTGTTTTTTTCAAAATCACCCAAAAAATGTAAGTTCCACCTTTCTATTATTAAAAACCTTTAAGATCTTACTCCTTCCTTTGCTCACACTCTTTCTTTATTAGGTCTTCTTCAGAATACACACCCGTGTTTGCTCCCTTTTTCGGGTTTGCCGGGTGCGCGGCGGCCATCATTCTCTCGTCGGCGGGTGCAGCCGTAGGCACAGCCAAGTCCGGTATTGGTATTTCAGGTATCGGCACTTTTAAACCTGAACTTATCATGAAGTCTCTTATCCCCGTTATTATGTCGGGTATTCTCGCCGTCTATGGACTCGTCGTCGCTGTTCTCATTGCAGGAGACCTCAACCCCACGGAAACTTACTCGCTATTCAATGGCTTCATGCATTTGGCCTGTGGCCTTTGCGTAGGCTTTGCGGCGCTGGCCGCCGGTTATGCCATTGGAATTGTGGGTGATGAAGGTGTTCGCCAACTCATGCTTCAACCCAGACTCTTTGTTGGTATTGTTCTTATTCTCATTTTCGCTGAAGTCTTGGGTCTCTACGGAATGATTATAGCCCTGATTCTCAACACCAAGGGTTCCGGTTAAACTTATATATATATATCAAATTAATCAACGTATAGTAATAATAATAACAATAACAATAATAACAATAATAATAATTAATCAAGCCATTTCAACATCTCCATCTCCAATAAAAGTCTCGGGGGTTTCCTCAAGAACTTGCACACTACGCGCAGAGTCAAGAAACAAGGTATAAGACCGCTTAATATCCTCCACTTCAACCTGACTAGCCTTGCGCTTGGCTGCAACCAAACTAGCAACTGAAATCAAGTTGCTAGCATACCGTAGACTAGTATCCTCACCAATCTTTGTGAGCAACGCCAAAGCTTCTGGAGTCATATCCACCTCTTCTTCTTGTGCACGAATGTTAAGAATCTCACGAATCTCCTCAGCTCCATATGGCGAAGTTGAAATGATAATCACCCGGTCAAGCAGGTCTGCCGGCAGTCCGTGAGGCGACTTGTAATTTGTACCGCGTGTCCGTGAAATACCTCTATTTGTGGCCATGATAACAATTGGCGCCAGTTCATCCTCCAGCGCTCGGTTAATATATGAAAAACACTCAATGTCAAGCATGTGAACCTCATCAATAAATAACACACCAGGAATCACATCAGCTTTACCCTCTTCGCGCCATTCGCTCACTTTGGCGTTAATTTGGTCGCGTACTTCAGGTCGAATCTCACCAGTGTCACCAGAAAATAATGCCAAAAAGCCCTGCGTACGTGAATTGATCACGTCAATCTCATGTAGCGAAACTGTATGCACAATCTCACGACGCTGCTGCAATTCTCCCTCAGGACACTGTACAAACTTGGTGTCAGGACCCATCGCGTCGTAATCGCGCGACCGCGAGTATGACCGACCAAGCTTTGTGATTTTACCCGAAGCTTTATCAAGTGAAATAACATCACCTGCAGTCACCTTTTCGCGAGCCAGCGCGTCAATCATCTTGGCTCCAAGATCATAAATGGTCTCCATATCCGTTGTTTTGATTGTAAGCTTACCCTGCTTGTGTCCACCAGTCACTGAGCGGTCGATTTGGATTTCTACAACCTCACCTTCAATCACCTCTGTTTCTTCCTTAATTCGTACACCCATCGACTTGCGGAATGCTTGATTAAGGGCTTCTGTTTTTGACATTTCCAGTGAAAAAACTTCGGATCCAGCAAGTGTTGTGAATGGCACATCAGATCCAAGTGACTGTGCAATACCCATGGCAATTGCAGTCTTACCTGTGGATGGAGGTCCTGCAATTAATGCAGCCCGCCCAGCAATCTTACCCTCTTGGATCATCTTGAGTAAAACACCAGCAGCTTTACGCGCCTTGAGTTGACCCACCATACCTTGTGCACTCTTCCATGGTTGTAGTGACGTGCCAGTCTCTAAGCCCAACCCTGTGATGTGCGAATGTGCCGAGACAAGGTTAAGTCCACGGAGCTCTTTAGCCTGTGTGATATTAGACAAAGACTGAAAAAAGTTAGTATGAATATTATTTGGGTGAAGGTTCTATTAAAAGAATCTTACCATTTTGTGAATAAATTGATATATTTATATATATATATATATTTTTTTTTAATAGTAGTGATTTGCTTGTTTTGAAAATGTCATGGAAAGAGAGAGAGAGAGTGAGAGGCTGGCGGGAAGGTTGGAAAATTTATTATCATTGTGGGTTAGGGTTTCATTATTTTTTATTTTTTATTTTTTTTTATTTCTAAAACGTGGTTTCGTGGACATTAAAGAGAAAAAAACCAACTCACCAAAAGCCATTCTTTCTTTCAAAATATTTTTTTTTTTTTTCATTTCCACAAAACCTTTTCCCTCCCCTTCTAGTACAAACAAACAAACAAACAAACAAACACAAAAGCAAGATGGCTCTCACGTACTTTGCTGATTTTTGGTACTCACTAGAGTCTTGTCTGACATGCTTCCAATCGCCAACTCTGAAAATTAACCGTCGAAACTTCAAAATCGTCAAGTTGCTTGGCGAGGTACGTTACCTAGTACTCAATCCTCATCCCCCACTAATCATTTTGTAAAGGGTGGCTTTTCCTACGTGTATTTAGTTCAAGCTAGCTCTGGTGAACTTTATGCCATGAAAAAGATCCGGTGTCCGTTTGGCCAAGAAAGTGTACGAAATGCACTCCGAGAAATTGAAGCATATAAACTTTTTGACTCGCCGCATATTATTAAAGCTATTGACTCAACTGTAGTCCAGGAACCTGACGGGTCCAAAACTGTATACATTATTTTGCCGTACTTCCCTCGTGGAAACCTCCAGGATATCATTGACTCCAATTTGGTCAATGGAAATCACATTCCAGAACCAGAGCTTCTGACACTGTTTTTAGGCGTATGCCAGGGCGTGCGGGCCATGCACAAACATGTCATGAAAAATGGCGGCGCACGGGTTTCCGGTTCCCGACCAAACCTCGAAACAAGACCTTATGATACAAACTCGTCTGAACAGCAACTTCTGGAAGCTCGCTCTTCGTTTGTTCTGGATGATGAAATTTCGGTAATGACTGGTGGAGATGACGAAGACGATGATATTAACATGGACCTTGAAGAGGACCTCAATTCAACAGCTTTAGGGACAGTCGTACCTTATGCTCACCGTGACATTAAACCAGCAAACGTTATGCTGGATGCTGCGGGTCAACCAGTACTTATGGATCTTGGATCGACTGCACGCGCACGTGTTTCTTTACCCACACGCCAATCTGCTCTTCAGTTGCAGGATCTTGCAGCAGAGTTGTGCACGCTGCCGTACCGTGCGCCGGAGTTGTTTTACGTGACAACAGACTCGACGATTGACGAGCGTGTGGATGTATGGAGTTTAGGATGCACATTATTTGCGCTTATGTACCAATCTTCTCCGTTTGAGTTGCAGGCTGCCGAGTCAGGTGCCAGCTTAAATATGGCCATTTCCTCGGGTGAGTTCAAGTTCCCTAACACGCCGGCGTACTCTGAGGAACTTAAGGAGGTTGTGCGCAAGTGTTTAACAGTTGATCCTAAACAACGGCCTTACATTGATGAGATAATAACGCGTGTAGAGAATTTGATTCATAGTTGAAAAAAAAACAAAAAAAAAACAAAAAAAAAACAAAAAAAAAACAAAAAAAAAGATACAATTGGGAGTAAGATGAAAAGTTATGAAAATTAGTGATATCACTTACAATTTTTTAAAAAGAAATTAAAAAAATTAAAAAAAATAAAAAAAATAAATGGAAAAGTAGCAAAAAAAGATATCGACACCAGCAGGACTCGAACCTGCGCGGGAAATCCCAAAAGATTTCTAATCTTTCGCCTTAACCGCTCGGCCATAGTGCCACGTGACTCTTGAAAATGTAACTTCTATGGGAATCGAATCATGATTGAAAAGAAAATAAACATTAGTGTATTAGTTTTTTTGAAACATTAATAACCCTTGACTTAAAAAAAACAAGCAAATAATTGGTAAAATTTCTATATTTAGATTTGAACTATTTAATTTAATAATTTTTTTTTTAAAATCAATAAATAAATGATAACCAGGTTATCATTTAAGCTTGTTTTGCTGGTTTGCGTGGTGTAGATCCTTAATTACCATTTGGTTTAAGATAGCCCACCTGTGAGAAATTTCTTTTAAAGAAAAAAAAAAAAACTTTGTATGCACTTATTTGTGTGCCTTGATGTTGTAGATGATGATGATTATGATTATGATAATTATGATAGTGCAGTTAAGCATATAAAAACAAAAATCAATGACATAATAATAATTGAAGAAAAAGAAGAAGCAGAAGAAAAGGAAGACGGCAAAATATTGCATTTATTTTTTTTTTTAAAGAAACGTGAAAACAAAAAAAAAAAAAAATAATAAAAATAAAATTTAGTTATTATTATTATTATTATTACTATAAAAACTTTTTGTTTTATTTCATTAATCTAAGATAATGAACAAAAAAAAAAAAAAAGTTGTCGATTAAATTGACCTCAGCCATGCCTCAAATTTACGAATTTGCATGCACTAGGGGCTTCTTTTTTTTTTTTTTTTTTCTCTCCCTCTTGTGAGTTTATTCGTATTTAAAGCATGAAAAAGATATTCCAAAAAAGAGATTTTTTCGACTTTTAATAGTGCGCACATTTTCATTATTTTCATTATTTCCATCATCCTTTTGTTCTTTTGTTCTTTTGATTTACTAAAATATCGTCATAATTGCTTTCTCGCTCGCTCGCTCGCTCATTAACTCATTAATTCATTCATTTCTCAAATCTTATGATTTTCATTCTTCTTCTGATAGTCATTCCAAGATGATCGTCTGTGCCGATCGTTCCAAATATATTTTTTTATTTATTTATCTTAAACATGAAGAATAAAAATAATGAAAAAAAAAGAAAAAAAGAAATAAATAAATAACTTTCTCCAAAAAGGTTCTCATAATTATAGTTATAACTATAAGCAAACTATACAATTGTATGATGTATCAAAATGACTCTTCATATTAAATGTATATATACATTTTCTTTCTTTTAAAGTTTCATTCAGGTGCCGTGGCATGTGAGAATGTGTATATTGGATCTTTTTTTTTTTTTTTTCTTAAACCCCCAAAATTAACAAATATATAAAGACTCTCAATTCCCCAAGGTTTTTTTCTCTTTTCTATCTTTCTTTTTTTTTTTTTTTATCTTTATTTGTTTATCATCAATTATTAACTATAAAAAAAACAAAATGTACACTCTTGCTCCTACACCAAAGGCCCCTGCTCCTAAACCAAACCAGGGCTCCATCTCATGTTTTCCTACACCAAAGGCACCTGCTCCCAAACCAAATCAACCTACAATGTCTGCTGCACCAACTCCTAAAGCACCTGCTCCTAAACCAAACCAACCTACAATGAGTGCGGCTCCTACACCAAAGGCACCTGCTCCTAAACCAAACCAACCAACAATGTCTGCTGCACCTACTCCTAAACCAAACCAACCAACAATGTCTGCTGCACCTACTCCTAAAGCACCTGCTCCTAAACCAAACCAACCTACAATGTCTGCTGCACCTACTCCTAAAGCACCTGCTCCTAAACCAAATCAACCTACAATGAGTGCAGTACCTACACCAAAGGCACCAGCTCCTAAGCCTAACCAACCTAAGGTATCCTTTAGTTGCAAGCTTTAAAGATCCTAGTATGATGGTTTTATTAAAGTAATTAAGTGATTTTGCACTTATGCACTGCTTTAAAGAAAGTATTTGGTATATTATTATCTTTTATTTTAAGCAAAATAAAAATGAAAAACAAAAACAACAAAAAACAAACCTTGGATTTAATCAAACAAAGGAAATTATATTTTTTAAAAGAAAGAAAAGTTGGTTTTAAAGTTAAATTAAGTTTTTTTTTATTTTATTTTATTTTTTTATTTTTTTATTTTTTTTAATTGAATAAAACTGTCAAGACATGATTTTGTAAACCCAAAAAAGTCAAAGCTTAAAAGAAGGATTTTGTAAATGCAAAATAAATTACGTAATACTGATATAATCATTGGTCATTTGTATAAAATTTTTTATTTTTATTTTTATTTTTATTTCTTATTTTTCACCGCCAAAATCAAAAAATTTTCTTCTTTCCCTTTTCTCTCTTTTCTTTGCCAAATTTTTTTTTTAATCAAAAATCAATCAAATACGCGACTTTATCAATCTGCGATTCATTCTGTTATCTGAGTTTTATAATATATATATATACATATATTAATTCAGTAATAATAAAATCTTATCACCACTTCTCTTCACAACCACTCCCTTTTCAATCTTTAAACAATGATCAGCTACCAGCAGACTCCTAGTCTTGCACAACAGAATGGCTCTCAAGTCACTGGTGTTCCGCCACAACAAACGTACGGGTCTACCGCACCTGTCCAGCCACCACAGCAGCAACAGCAGTTCCATCAGCAACAGCAGCAGCAACAACAGCAGCAACAACAGCCACAACAATCACATACTCGTTCCGGTTACCCCAGCCTCAAGCGCACCTGCTACGTGTGTAAGTATATTTTTTTAATTTTTTTTTTTTTTATAAGAGCCACGGACCTTTTATTTAAAATTTAATAACTAACTCTGTATAGGCGGCTTGTTTGGCCATCAGGCGCGATCTTGTCCCAAGTCTGGTAACCCCGTGTGCTACAACTGTGGTAGTATGTATAATTTTTTTTTTTTTTTTTCAATTTAATTGAATTCTTGACGTTAAAATCAAACTAACAAATCTAGATTACGGTCATCTGAGCAAGCAATGTGAAGAGCCATTGCGTGAAAAGATTTGCTACAACTGTGGCCAGTCGGGCCATCTGTTCCGGTCATGCCAGAGTACTTCCAATAAGCCTGTCACTCAGCACGCTGAGCAGCTAGTGTCGGAGAAGCGCGAGGAGAATACCGCTTCCACAGCTACAGAACAGTCGTCTTCTTCAACTACCTCTAGCTCACAATCAGCTCCAGCCTCGGCCTCAGCTCACCTGGCATCTAACTCTGAATCTGGGCCATCTACATCAGGCTCTGCATCCACACTTGCTAGCGCAGTGTCAACGGCTCAGGGCTCGACCCCAGGATCTTCATCGGCAACTGTGGTTCCTCCACCTTCTGGACCTGAGGCCCACTCAATTCCTAAGGGTCCTGCAGCTGGTGCTAATGGTGCATGCTACAAGTGCGGCAAGCCTGGCCACATTTCGCGGTTCTGCAAGTCTCCACGCAAGGCGATATCCAATGGAGCTTCTCCTTCTTCTTCCTCTTCTTCTTCTTCTCCTCCTTCGCATAAGACTATGTCGTGTTATTCGTGCGGTCAGTATGGACACTTTAGCCGGGACTGCACTAATGGCCAAAAGTGTTACAATTGTGGTGAGATGGGCCATTTGAGCAGAGACTGTAATGAGGCTCCAGGAAAGGTGTGTTATTCGTGCAAGCAGACTGGTCACATTTCTTCAGAATGTCCCAGCCATGCAGCTCTGGCGGCTTAAGGTGACTTTGGTAGTGTAGTAGTAGTAGTAATAGTATTAGTATTAGTAGTGTAGGAAGATGTGAGTAAAGAAAGAAAAAAAAATGTTAAAAATTTAGTCTAGGAGAGGAAATACTCGAAATGAAAATAAAAAATAATAAAATGAATATATAAATGTCTAATAGTAATAATGGCTTGTTTCTTTATCCATCAATCATCTCTCTTTTTTTTTTACAATGTTTTTCTTCTTCACGTCTCTGTTTTTCCTAGCCATTTTAACACTGGTCTCTCTCTGCGTGGCCGTCTTCATGTTGGTTGTTGCGATTAGTCTATCCAAAGTATATTCAACCTACGATTGTACCAAATAGACTGTGCCGTTTATATATATATATATATATTATACATAATTTCTATTATACAACTCCCAATATAGAACATTGTTCCCTCTATATAGATTTATATAGTCAAATGCAATTTGCAACTATTATCTTTTTTTTTAAAAAAAATTATCAGGAAGCCCAAACATGATACTCAAAACATCTTGTCCAAAGTTGCGTATGCCCAAGTACTCCCCAACCACACCAATATTGTTGCCATGGCCCTCTGTCAACCACTCGTCATAATCATTATGTGTCGGGTCCTTACGTTTAGGCTTCCCGCGCCTATCCTCGACCGTCATTCCGCGCGTCCAGGTCCCATTTGTCTCGATGCGAACGTCTTTATTTTTATGTACGCGCCATAGCCCTGTTACTACATTGTTGTTGTCAACAATTAGATGGCTAGTCAACGCATAGTGGACAGCCAATGGATCATGCATTTGAATTCCGAGTGTGGCCAAGTGTTGTGGAGAATCGTCAAGCCCAGAAATGTGTTTGTAAGTATTGAAAGTTTGTTTGAGCCAGATACTTGCCCATTGAAAAAGTGGAGAGGGATTAGTTGAATGAAACTCTTGGACTTTGTCGAAATCTTGAGCAAACATTTTGTGTTTTTCTGTAAGATCAAGTGGCAGAATATCGAGGGTTATTGGAAGTGACTTATTTTGAGGAGATCTATCTAGAGTGCCGGTTAGATTATATACACGTGAAGCGGCCAAAGGGTCAGAGAAAACGTTAAATTCAGAGTAAGGGGTTACATTTCCAGGAACACGAAGAGCACCTCCCATAGAAACGACTGATTTAGCGCGTGAAAATACATATGGATCAATTTCTGCGGCTTTTGCAAGATTCATTAGGGGTCCTATGGCGACTATGGTGACTGTGTTTTCTGGTTCTGTACGAAGGATATTGATTATTTCAAGATAAGATGGGGTTTTGGAAGCCACAAAGGGTAGTGAAGAGGAGGAGGAGGATAAGTTCATATCAGAGTCTTGATTAAATTGATTAATCCAGTGTGTAGGAGCAGAGAAATGTGGGGCAGTGTTGTGAACGTTCCCCAAGCCATCTTGACCATGAAAGTCAGTTGCATCGAGTTGAGTTCCATCCAGGGCAGTTTCGAGGCCAATTGCTATTTTAGGTTTTGAATGGAGTATTTTAGTATTTCTATGAGATTCTTCAAGTTGTAGAACATGCATTAGGGTAAGAACATTACGGAGTGAGTTTTCAGTATTACAGTTACCGAAACAAAGTGAGATGAGGGCTAAGTCAGTGTTTGAAGAAAGAAGAGCGAGAGTAAGAGCTAGGACGTCATCGACCTAATGGGAAATAATAAAAAAGGAAAAAAAAAAAAAAAAAAAAAAAAAGAAGAAGAAAAGGAAAATTAGTTAAGATTAAAAATAGAAGACTTTTGAATGTTTGCTTACACCTGGATCTGTATCGATGATTAGTTTTTGCATTTTTTTTCTTTTTTAGAATTATAGTTGGTGATTTGAGAAGAAGATTAAGGGAGGTTTATATATATATATATATATGTATATTCAAAGATAACTAGGTGGTATGAGAGTTACTCGTGCTGGTGATTACTTTTATATTTAAGAAAAAAAAAATAAAAGAGATGAAATGAAATGAGATGAGATGAGATGAAAAAAAAAAAAAAAAAAACATCCATAGTAAATGTTTTATAACAAGTCAAATAAGAAAAAAGTTTTATATTATATATATATATATATATATATATATATATATATGTATATTTTATTATTTGATTGTTTAATGCAGTTGGTTATATATAAATAAGAAACTAATTATTTTAAACCCAAGTTTAGTTTTAGATAAGATAAATAAATTTTAAGTTAACTATGAATTTGTATTATTATATTTTATTTTTTTAACTTTGATCAATTATATATATATTAATATTACTTGAAACTTAAGACTTGGAATACTAAAATTGAGGCTGTGCTTGTATTTATTTTTATCTTTGCCTAGAAAAAAAAATATATATATTTCAAAATTAAAAATTAAAAATTAAAATTAAAAATTAAAAATTAAAAATAAGCACGTAGCAAGCAAAATTTTTTGTTTTTTTTTTTTTTTTTTTTTTTTATTTCCTGGGCTTTTTTATTTTTTTTTTTTTTTTTGTTCTTAGACGACGTCACACACAACTGCGTGGTACACACTGCCACTTGAGTATAATAAATATATATAAATATATCTAAATATAAATTATAATCTAATGGTGGCTGAAATCTTTATTTATTTATTTATTTATGTATTTATATATATATATAAATATAAATATAATCAAGTTTTTCCTAATTTTTTTAATAAAATTTCAATTTCAATTTCTATTTCAATTTTAAATTTAAATTTAAATTTACTTTATATATATAAATCTATACCTGATTATAATCAGTTAATTAATTGATATTGTTGATATCACGTGACCCAGCCGCACATACCTCCCTTTTTCTCTTCTTCCCCCCTCAAATTTTTTTTTTTTTTAACCTACCACAACACGCGCCTATTGCCACCGCAACAACGTCTTTCTCTTTTTCAATAAACTTCCATTTTTAGCACCTCCGCAACCTTTTATTTTTTTTTTTTTTATCCAAACCAGCCAAGTTCATCCCTTTTTGATATTTTTATATATATATATATATTTTTTTTTTTTTCAATTTCAATTTCAATTTTAAAAATTTCAATTCTTCTTCAACCACCTGGCAATAAAGAAATAACAAAAAAAAAAAAAGAGAAAGAAATCTTTAAAAAAAAAAAATTTTTTTTTTTTATTTCTATATAACTACTATTAATAATAATAATAACAATAATTATTTATATTAACAACAACTTCCTTAGTTGTTTGTTCATCAGTATATATTAGTTATACTCAGTATTATATATATATACAAAGCATAAAATGCTTCGAATACATAAACTTTTCCTGGCACTGATATTCTCTTCCTCACTAATCTTACCAGCATTAGCAGAACGCATTCTTAGATCTAGTGCCTTACTCACATGTATGGATAACTCCCAGTTCTCCGCAAGCAAGTTCGACGTCACTTTTACTCCAAATAATAAAACTGTCACTTTTGATCTTAACGCAGTCACTACCCTCGATGGATACTTTGTTGCCAAAATCGTCGTCATTGCTTATGGTATCTCTGTAATCACACAAACAATCAATTTTTGTAACCTTGGATCTGATACCTCCCAACTCTGCCCAATCTCACCAGGACATTTAGATAACCTAAAGGGCACTTATACTATCGATAGTGATATTGTAAACCAAATCCCAGGTGTTACTTATACTATCCCAGACTTGGATGGTATAGTCCAAGTCCTTGTTTACCCTAATGGTACAACAGACTCAAGTGCTGTAGCCTGTGTCGAAGCAACTCTCACAAATGATAAAACTGTTCAAACCCCCTACGCCTCCTGGGCACTTGCCATTGTCACCATTGTTGGATTTTTGCTGGCTGGTGTCGTTTGGCTGCGAGGATCACTTTCATCCTCAGCACACATCTCCTCCAATATCGTGTCACTTTTTATTTATTTTCAAGGTGTAGCCATCATCGCCATGATGGCTGTTGAACGTTGTCCACACATTGCAGCTGCTTGGTCACAAAACTTTATGTGGACCGTGGGACTCATTTCACTCCCCTTTATCCAAGACATTATGAACTGGTACATTCAAGCAACAGGTGGTACGGTCACGAGTATTCTCCCGAACGCCGATTTGATGAACCTTTCAATCCAAAAAAGAGCTATTTATGAATATGCTACCCAGATTTATTCTACCCTCGACAATCCAACTGTTCGGCCCTTTGTCTTGGCCGCCAAGTCAGCTTTTATTCCAAGAGATGTGGCATACTTTTTACAATTACCTTCATTGCTAGATGACCCGTGGCTTTTTGTCCGCGATGATGAAACTTCTACAGAAACCACTGATGAAAAACTTGACGATTACTCGTCCACTGTGCTTGTTTTACGCGGAATGCAGCGTGTGGCATTTCTTGCCAATATTGAAATCACTTCTGTGTTTGTCACAGGTATAACCTTTTTCCTCATCTTTTTAGTTTTCGCTATGATTATTTTGCTTTTTATTAAAACCCTTACAGAGATGTTGGCTAAAACAAATCTTATCCATCGTGGCCGTGTGGGTGATTTCCGTAAAGAATGGAAGTCCATTTTTAAGGGTGTACTTTTACGTGTATTCTTTATGGCTTTCCCCTCTTTGACTGTGCTATGTCTCTGGGAATTTACTCAGCACGAGTCAGTGGCTACTGTTGTGCTGGCTGTATTTACCTACTTGACTGTGGTTGCGCTGCTAGCCTTTGGAGCTTACAAAACTATAAGCACAGCCCGGAGGTCTATGCAAACACACAAGAACCCAGCATATTTATTATTCAGCGACGTGCACATGCTCAATCGTTGGGGTGTACTCTACGTCAACTTCCGCGCGTCAGCTTATTATTTTATCACACCAATGCTGATCCACGTCTTCATCAAGGGTGCATTTATTGCATTTGCCCAAGGATCAGGAAAAGTCCAAGGTATTTGTGTGTTTTTGATTGAACTATTTTATTTGATTTATGTGGCATGGGTTAAGCCTTATATGGATAAACCTACCAATGGGTTTAACATTGCAATTGCTGCAGTAAGCATGATCAATGCTCTTTTCTTTTTATTTTTTTCAAATCTTTTTGGCCAGCCTGCCTATGTTAGCAGTATCATGGCTGTGATTTTCTTTGTCCTTAATGCTGCCTTTTCATTAGTTTTAGTGGTACTCATTATAGTATCATGTATGTGGGCAATTTTCTCTCGCAATCCAGAAAATAGATATGAACCCATGCGTGATGACCGTGAGTCATTCATTCCTGATCCAGAGGGTGAAAAGAAACCAGTTACTGAACTTGATGCTCTCGGTGCAACTGCTCGTGACGGGTACCCAAACACACTTTCTGTCATGACATCACTTTCAGGTGTCAAACCAGAATCTATGCTTACTGGGGAGGATTTGATGAGAGGGACTGGAAGTTACAATGGTGGTGGTAGTGGTAGTGGTGGTGGTAGTGGTGGTGGTAGTGGTAGTGGTGGTAGTGGGAGCAGTACGATTCACGAAGATGGATCAATAGCTCGAGGGTATTATGATGAAGACTCATTTTATGATAATGGGCCTGCAATGGCCCAAGGTTCATCATCAAATTTAATTCGACCACAACAAACTAATAATAGTGTTTACCCAATAGATTCAAGGGTTTCAACTAACTCAGCTACAGCATTAACTTCCATCATGCCATCACAAGGGTTCCCTTCAGCAAGGCTGCCGCGAGCACCAGGAGGCCATAGTGAGGCCGATATGTATAGTACTAACACGGCATATCCCGGGCCTGGCGGGTACCAGGGCCGATCTGGGTGGTGATAATTATGATAATTATGATGATTATGATGATTATGATGATTATGATGATGATAATCAAGTGAGGCTGAAACTATAAAGGAGGTGGGGGAAGGATGATGTAGTAAATGTAATTTGATTTGATTTAATTGTATTTTTTTTTTTTTGTACATGTTAAAAAAATATATATATTTATTTATAATTATTCAAGTTTTTATATTTAAAAATTTTTTTTTTTATTCTTCTTCTTCTTGTTTATCAAAAAAAAAAAAAAAAAAAAAAAAAAAAAAAAAAAAGGAAATTCTCCAAGAAGAGGCTTATAAGCTATATATAAGCTTAAATATTTTAAATATTTTAAATCTTGGGGACTTTGAGGGACTTTGAAATCATGGCTGAGCCGGAAATCAAAAATAAGCCAACCAGCGGGTGGACTTGAGCCCAGTGGCCATCCCACAAAACGCCTCCTGGAATATTTGTATGGCCAGTTTTACCAGTTGCCACAAAATAATACATGATAGCCACCAATACAAGGGTAGTTGGGATTGGAGTTCCTTCAAAATATTTTGATTTCCCAGTTTTTGCATCCTTGGGGATATTTGCCACCGTAACATTAAATCTAGCTAAACGTGTAAGTCCACATAAAACGAAAATAGCCAAAGCAGCTGTATCAAGAGTAGTACGGAACCCAATTGTATAAGCAATAGAAGCAGGAGCCACACCAAAAGATACAAGATCAGCAAGTGAATCAAGTTCTTGTCCCATAAGAGATGCTTTATGTCGCCAGCGAGCAACACGTCCATCAAGGAAATCAAAAAATAATCCAAGAGGTACCAATAACATTGCACGATTTAAATAATAATTATTCCCACTTGCTAATCCCTTTTCACTTGTTAAATGGGCCAATAAAGATACTATAGACATAAATCCACAGCATGCATTCATAAGTGTAATATAATCTGCCATATGTAATTGTCTAATCATAGAAAAATGACGAGAATCATCAGTAAATGCTTTAATTTCACGAGCATTAGGAGATGGAGGTGCTGGTGATGGAGAGAAAAAACTTGATCGCCGGCGTGTACGTGGTCTTTCACGGAGTTGTTGGTCATGCAATTGTTGGTCGAGAGCTGCTATACGGGCATCATCTGCAGCTGCTTGTTCTTCTGGACTTAATTTGTGATGTTGTTGTTGTAATAATGATGATGATTGTGTTTCATTCTTGTTTTGATTGGTATTAATATTAGTATTAGTATTGGTATTGGTATTGTTGTTGTTGTTAACAATATCTTCATCGTCTGAATCTGCAATTGCAGAAGATTGTTGTTGCAGTTGACGAGTAGGTATATCACCTGAAACTGGAGGTAATGGTGGAGTAGTAGACATTTGAAATTGTATTAATTAATTAATTAAAAAAAAAAGATGATGATGAAAAGATGAATAAAAAATTCTTCTCAATTGATTTAAATTTGAAAAGAATAAATGGATAGATTAAAAAAAGAGAGAAAGAAAGAAAGAAAGAAAGAAAGAAAGAAAGAAAGAAAATGGTGGCAGTGAATGAGAAAGAAAAAAAAAAAAAAAAGGAGGGGGAAAAAAAAAATAAAAAAGAAGATTTTTGTTTGGTTGCTTTTTTTTTTTTTTTTTTTTTTTTTAAGGACAGCAAAAAAAATAAAATAAAATAATATAATATTAACAAAAAAAAAAACATGTGAAAATTCTCATCAGTTTTTTAATTTTAATTTTTTTAACATAATTATTTAACTATATCATGTTAATAAAACCATAGTTACTGTTAAATAAAATAAATCAAAAAAAATTTTTTTTAATCAAACAATTATTGTATTACATCTTTTTTTTTAATTACATTTTATTAATTTTTAAATTTTTTTAAATTTTTTTAAATTTTTTTAAATTTTTTTAATTTTTTTTTTTTTTTTCGTTATTACAAATTGTCTTTGTTAATAAAAAAAAAAAAAAAAAAAAAAAAAACTTCTTAAATTCTTAAATTTTGTAAATTTTTAAATTCTTTAATTCTTAAACTTCTTCTTAAGGATTAGCAACTCGTAGAATCTTACGACTGTAATCTCTATCATCTGCAAGTGATCCCTCAGAAAACCGTCGGTCTCCCAACATGACTGGATTCAAACGTTGGTCAACTGCCATAAAATCATCCACAGCATTAGCTGTAGGACCAGGCGTAAATGCAAGTTTATCATCCATAATACGCGTAGTAAATGGATCAGATGCTGGAGAACCTCCCACTGCAGGGTACCGACGATTACCAGCTCCGTTTCCTCCTCCTCCACCACCACCATTAGGTCCATTGTTGGCGCCAGCGCCGATAAACGATTGAGATGACTTAAGTGATGGAGTAGCATAGGGGTCTGCACGAAGACGAGTAGACGCTCCACGTGACAGGCCATCACCGTCAAAGCGTTTAGAACGACGACGCATAATGAAGAAGCCAGCAAGCACAATAATCACACCACAAACAACACCAATGACAATACCTGCAATGGCACCGCCGGAAATGCCGCTGGATTTTGAGTGGGTGGGTGTAGTAGAAGCAGAAGCTTCAGCTGGAGATGAAGAGGAAGAAGAAGAAGAAGAAGAAGCTTCAGCAGAGTCTGAAGTTTGGTGAGGGGTTTCAGAAGGACTGACGGTGACAATAACTGTAGACTGGCCATTAATGACTGAGATAATAGTTGTTGGTTGGATAGAAACAACAGGGGAGATTGAGGATGTTTGTGCAGAGGAGGAGGTAAGGGGGGATGATGAAGATGTAACCTTTTGGGAAGTTGTGGCTGCTATAGTGTTAGTAGATGAAGTAGGGGGGTCTAAAGTAGATGAGGAAAATGCTACAGCTGTTGACGTAGTCAAAATAGACGATTCAGACAGCAAAAAAGAAGAAGAAGAAGAAGAAGAAGAAGAAAAAGATGCGAATGAAGTAGTAGAATATGGAAGAATAGAAGAGGCAGACGTACCTGTGCTGGAATCAAGACTGGAGGTGCTGGAAGGGGTTGTTGAGAGTGTTTCTGAAGAAGAGGATGTTGAGACAATAGATAGTTCGGAAGAAGATGATGAAGACGAAGAAGAAGACGAAGAAGAAGATGATGAGGAAGCAGAAGAAGACGAAGACGAAGAAGAAGAAGAAGAAGAAGAAGAAGATGATGATGATGATGAATCACTTGAATCTGAGTTTGATGGAACAGAACCAACAGTAACAGCACCGGAACCACTGTTATCTGAAACCAATTTATAAACTGTGAAAGATGAAGAACCACCACAAGGTTCACTTGGATAACCTACACAAGTAGAATCACAAGTTCCTTCAGACCCAGAAGGTACAGAGTTACCACATAAACATTCATTTCCATCAGAAAGGGCAAAATAAGTATAACCTGAACAAGATGTTGAGCATGAAAGTGAAGCTTGATAAATGTTTGTACCTTGAGAAGAATAACCTGAAAGTGAAGAATAACAACCAGTATATTGATAGTCGAAAGCAGAGGCTGGTGTGATTGTAGCAAGAAGTAAAAGTAAAGGAGTTGCAGCTTTTGATAGAGATGTAAAGAAGGAATGTTTGTTATTGTATTGTTTAGTAGGTTGTTGTTGTTGTTGTTGTTGTTGTTGTTGTTGTTGAATTCTATATGATGATGATAATGATAATGATAATGATGATGATGATGTATTAATTTTATTATGAGTGATAATCATTTGATGTGAATGGTCTATTAGATGATTATTGTTATTAATATTATTATTATGAATAAGAGAAAGATCTTTCCGTTGTGATAAGAAAAGTCTGAATGTGTCGTTATTGTTGTTATTATTATTATTATTTGCTGGAACTGAGTCTTCTGACTGGTTTCCCAGGACAAAGAGATTTGGAGCTGGTGGGTCGACCAGATTAATCATTTTTTTTTTTTTTTTGTAAAATAGATATATATATATATATATAAATAAATATAAAATCTAAATAAATTTTTTATTTATTTAATGAAATTAATTTAAAGAAAAAAAAAAAAAAAAAAAAAAAAAAAGTTGGTGATAATTTTTGTTTTTAGTTTTTTTTTTTTATTTTTTAGGAGGTTTAGTTTTAGTTTGTAAATGAAAAAGAATGAATGAAATTTTCAAAAAAAAAAAAAAAAAAAAAAATGTTTATTAAACAGTAAAAAAAAAAAAAAAAAAAAAAAAAAAAAAAGTTTTGTGAGGGAAAAAAAAAAAAAAAATAAAATTTTTTTTTTTTTTATTTCAGTCAAACAAACAAACAAACAAACAAAAAAAGTTTCAAAAGGGAGGGGGGGGGGGGGGGAGGAAGGAAAGGCAGCCAAGGAAGGAAAGGAAAAAAAAAAAAAAAAAAAAAAAAAAAACTGGCAGGCAGGCAGGCAGGCAGGCAGGCAGGCAGAATAAAAAAAAAAAAATAAAAAAAAGGAGAGAGAGAATTTTTTATTTATTTTTTATTTATTTTTAAAATATTTGTAAATAATAAAAATAAAAAAAATATGCGAGTATCCCAAAAAAATAAAAAAATAAAATAAAAAAATAAAAATAAAAATAAATTTGGATTTGAGGGAAACCAGGGGTTAAGTTGGAAGTGATTTTTGTTAAATATAAAAATAATAAAAATGTAGGAGTAGAGATAATAAAATATAGTAGATAAAATAGAATAGAATAGAATAGATGGAGATATAATTATATGATGTTGAAAAAAATAAAAAAACACGCAAACAATTTTTTTATTTTTTTTTTTTTTTATTTTTTTTTATTTTATTTTTTTTTTCTTCTTCTAGAATTTATTTTTTAATAATAGACTAACCAATCAAAACGTGACTTAAAACACGCGCCCTTTTTGTTATTTTTATTTATTTATTTTGTTGTCCATAACAACAATACAAATAAATACGCGTTCACTTAAATAAATAAAATGTCGTGATATATATATATATATATATATATATATATATATACTACATAAAAAAAAAACAAAAAACGCGTTTCTATAAATAAATAATAATATATATTGTAATGTAATGTAATGTAACAAAAATAAATAAATAAACATTTGCTTCTATTTATAACTCTCCGGAACTTCTTCTAACCCCCTGAAAAAAAAAAAAAAAAAAATTGTATATATATATATATATAAAAAAAAAAATAGAAAAAATAGAAAAACCCGGTACCGACCAACTCATGAACTAATTATTATAATAAATGAATCACTCACCAAAAACACCTCCACTAGTACTCTCACTTGTTACCGGACTACCACCACTACCACTACCACCATGATCACCTATAAGTACCGGTGTTGCACCTGCACCACTCCCAAAAGAAGACCCATAACTATGTCGTCTTTCAGTGTCTCCATTACTATTATTATTATTATTATTATTATTGTTATTGTTATTATTATTATTATCACCACTACCATCTCCAAACTCAAACAATGGTAATGGAACACGAGCATCTTCAACTCCAAGACCAAGACCAACTCCAACCACTCCAAGACCCATCCCAACACTACCACCATGATTTCTTCCTTCTTCTAATTCTAATCCTGATCCTCCAAGTTCTAATGCTGCTGCAGTCCCTGTACTACTATTACTACTACTCCTACTCCTACTCCTACTCCTACTCCTACTCCCCATGGACCGATCTCCCAATCCATCATCATTTTCATTTTCATTTTCATTTTCATTTTCATTTTCATTTTCATTTTCATTTTCATTTTCATTTTCATTCTCAGAATCTGAACTTAACCCTACCCGAGAAATACGGCCTCTAGGAGGAACCCCTAATTCTTCTTCAGATAACGAAGGTGACGAAGAAGAAGAAGAAGAAGAAGATGATGATGACGAAGATGATAACGAAGATGGTGACAATGTTGGAGATTGTGAACGAGATAATGAAGAATGATGATGACGCAGAGATACGGCTGCACGTGTGCGGCTGCGACTGCGGCTGCGTGTAGGTGACCCTAACCCAGGACCCCCTGCACTCCTGCTATTGCCATGATGCTGTTGGTGTTGATGTTGATTGTGGTGGTGGTGGTGGTGGTGGTGGTGTCGTCGACGTGTTGACTGTACAGTAAAGGCACTATGTAACACTCCTGCATTTTTGTTTCGTGAAGATAACATCGTCACTCCTGCAGGAGGTAACAATTGAGATGCTGTACTTGTTCCATTTCCTCCATTTCCTCCATTAGATCCATTAGATCCAGTAGATCCATTTGACCCACTGTTACTCCCCCCAATAATTGGCGTAGAATCACCACTACCATTACCACTACCATTACCATTATTAGACGCATCGCTTAATCTGCGTAATAAAACCCCACTCTGAGATGAGCCAAGACCTCGTCCCTTAGGTGTTCTTCGACCAGATAAACTTTTATAGATTGGTGATTGTGAAATAGCAGCCATAAAATCATCTGGTGGAAGTAATAGTGTCCGATGAGGAGATCCAAATACATTACTTGAATCCATTCCATTACTAAACCCTCCAAACCTAGACCTTGATGATCCTGATCCTGATCCTCCAGCAGAAGGTGGTGGGAAAAGCCCACCAAACCCTCCAAGTCCTCCTCCTAAAGGTAACGGTAACCTTGGAGTTGTGATCAAACCTGCAGTTGATGATGACGAAAATGATCCTTCTCCTAGTTTCTTCGGCTTACTGCCACTGCCACTGCCACTGCCACTGCCACTGCCACTGCTACTACTACTCTTGGGTCCAACACTACCAGGGATCCCACTACCATAGTAGTTGTTGCTGTTGTTGCTGTTGCTGCTACTGCTGCCACCACCACCAAAACCACCGCTTGTAGAAGCTCGTGCAGGTGATGGTGTAAACAAGTTCAAATACTCGTGCAAATTAAATGACTGAGAAGGTGTTGCAGGATGTTGTTGTTGCCCTTGACCATTCTGACTGTTGTGATGAGAAGACCGTACAGGACCTGAAGGAGATGTCGCCAAAAACATGAGCAAATCTGCTGCTGCTGCTGTCGTAGAACTTGTAGCCATTGTTGTTGTTGTTGTTGTTGTTGCTGTTGTTTTAGTCGTTTCTGTTGCCGTTGTTTTAGTCGTTTCTGTCATTGAAGTAGCAGCTGCTGTTGTAGATGCATCTGCTGTTGACAACGTCACCGTTGCTGCAGTTGCAGTTGCAGTTGTATTTGACTTCTTTCCTAAACTGTCTCGACCAACTGTTCCATCCATAGCACCTTGATCATTCTCATTCCCATCATCTTTACCCCCATCACTCTCTCCACCTTCATTTCCATTAATCTTTTGAGCCTTGGGAGTACTTGATTCTATCCCATCTCCTCCAATCCCATCCAATTCAACTTCACTTTCCCTCCTACAACTCGTACCAGCTTTGATAACATCAGTAGATGCAACCCTAAATGGGGTCTGTAATCGGTCAACTAATGGTTGTGGAACTAACCCAGAAATTATCTCACCATGCCTTTCACCATTATTACCTTCCACATCATCCATACTCACATTCATTCTTTCAGGACTGGCTGTTCCTCCCCTTGGAGGAGTCTTGGGCTCAACAACATCAACAATACTTCTCGGTACCTGACCAGGTGGAGTCCCAGGATCAGCCATAGATTGCTCCAATTGCTGCTTATCTTCCTTATCCCCCTCATCATCCTCCTTCTTCTTTTTCTTCTCATCATCATCATCATCACCATTGCTTTCCATATCAACATCTTCAATCCCCATACTATTCTGAGATCCATCATTTCCTTCTTGAAGTAATTTCTTATCATCTACTTCTCTTCTCTCTTTTTTCACTTCTTCTTCATCCTCTTCATCTTCCATAGACGCCCCAACCCTTACCGCTAATGCTGCTGCTGCCGCCGCTGCTGCTGCCGCCTCGGCAGTCCCCCCAACTGTCACACGTACACCTCCACTAATAGAAATACTTGGTCGTGGCCTATGATTATGATGATGCTGTTGTTGCTGTTGTTGCTGTTGTTGCTGTTGTGTAGAGATAACCATCCCTTCATTTCGCTCACCACCATTAAAGTACATGTACGGCCCATTACCATTTCCTCCCATTGCATGTTGAGGTATTGGTACTTGCATTGGCACATAGCCTGTAGTGTTACTCTTTGGCCCTTGTAGCTGCTGCTGCTGCTGCTGCTGCTGTTGTTGTTGCTGATCTGATCCTTCTAAACCCCTAGGTCCAGGCCCAGGCCCAGGCCCTGTAACTGCAATTGCAGCTGCTGCTGCTGCTGCTGCCATCTGTTGCATTTGCATCTGTATTTCCGCAGGCCCTAACCCCCGTGCAGCTGCAGAACTGCTCAGCTGTTGCATCTGCTGCTCCATATGATGTTGGATCTGTAACTGAAGCTGCTGCTGTTGCAATGATACTCCTGAAGGAATTGGACCATGCGCAGGTAGTTGTTGTTGTTGCTGCTGCTGTTGCTGCTGCTGTTGCTGTTGCTGTTGCTGCTGCTGTTGCTGCTGCTGTTGCTGCTGCTGTTGCTGCTGCTGTTGCTGCTGCTGTTGCTGCTGCTGTTGCTGCTGTTGCTGAAGCTGTTGCTGAAAATAATGTTGCTGTAATTGGGGTATTGTAGTAGCCATGTAACCAAAATGAGGCCCCTGAATATGCGCAGGATAACCGGGTATACCAACGTTAATGGGAATTCCATGAGTCGCATGCTGTTGTTGCAGCAGCTGCTGTTGTTGCTGTTGTTGCTGCTGCTGATGCTGCTGATGCTGCTGATGCTGCTGATGCTGCTGATGCTGCTGATGCTGCTGATGCTGCTGATGCTGCTGATGCTGCAATGGTATCTGTTGAGGCTGTGGAGGAGCTCCTGCCACTGCACCATGATTAGGTATTTGACCAGGCAATTGTCCATGGTATTGGCTTGCTGTTGTTTGTAATGGTGCATGTGACTGTGACTGTGGCTGAGGCTGAGGTTGTTGGCCAACAATCATATTATGAGGTCCATGTTTCCCCTCTGTTCCTCCTGTTCCTCCTGCCACTGCTCTAGCTCCTGTTGCTGCCGCTGCTGCCGCTGCTGCTGCCGCCGCTTGTTGTACAGGCACAGGAACCGGTGCTTGGATAGGAACTTGTACCGAGTTATGGACTGGAGTTTGAACAGAAACTTGATGCTGTTGTTGTTGCTGCTGCTGCTGCTGCTGTTGCTGCTGCTGCTGCTGCTGTTGCTGCTGCTGCTGCTGCTGTTGCTGCTGCTGCTGCTGCTGTTGCTGCTGCTGCTGCTGCTGTTGCTGCTGCTGCTGCTGCTGTTGCTGCTGCTGCTGCTGCTGTTGCTGCTGCTGCTGCTGCTGCTCATGATGATGATGACTCTGTTGAATCTGTTGAATCTGTTGAATCTGTTGAGTCGCAGTCATACTTGGATTTGAAAATCGAGCAATTGTCAAGCCCTCAGCTACAGACGCTGACCGAGACAACCCGCGTCCAGAAACCGAAAGTGCAGCTGCATTAACTGGAACAGGAGCCTGTAATGGTGTTGCCTGGCTCTGTGGGCCCGCATTGGCTTGTATTGGAGGAGTTTCTGCCTGAGCTGGAACATGCTGTTGTTGTTGTTGTTGCTGTTGTTGATAAGAACCTGACACAGGCGTGGGAACAGGTGCAGGAACAGAAACTTGTTGATGTCCTTGACTTTTACCTTGACCTCCTTTCCCCTTCCTAGCCTTGGCCGCATAACTGCTCTGCGTCTGCACTTGGAATGTATTTAGAAACCGCGTGGGCGCAGTGTTCATATATTGTGAATTCTGTCCTCCCTGTTGGCCTTGTCCTTGACTCTGTTGACTGTTTTGATATGCTAACGAATATGATGCTGCTGCTCCTCCTTCTGAAACAGTTCTTGAGCGCTTCTGTGGAGTCCCCACACGGCTCGGCAATTGTTGCTGCTGACCTTGACCTTGACTTTGACCTTGACTTTGGCCTTGACTCTGGACTTGTTGCTGTTGATCTGTTGTACCCGCAGGGACAAATGGAATAAATTGAGCAGGCACATGGCCATGGCCGGGACCCACTGCACTAAACGCAAGTTCACCCATGGATCCAGTCACAGGACCAACAGCCCCAGATGCACCCACTGCAAACACAGGTGTACCAGGTCCTGGGTATTTGCTTGGGAAAGTATTATGTCTAGCAAGAGGTGATGAATTATTGGATGATTGGTTGTGGAGTTGATGCGTTGATGATGATGACGATGATGACGATGCTGAGGTGGAGGAAGAAGATGCTGGAGGAGGTGGTGGTGGTGGTAATGGTGGTGGTGGAATAACATATTGCTGGATTGTTGAGCCATCAATAAATCCACGATTGTCTTCATATGCAAATGTAGGCCATGGATGATGATTGGTTTCTGGGTGATGTGGCTGTTGAATCATATGTTGTTGGGTTGCTGTTGCTGTTGCTGTTGCTGCTGCTGAAGCCGCTGCTGCCGCTGCTGCCGCTGCTGCTGCTATTGCTGCTGCTGCAATTGGTGTGGCAGGCATTCCCAAAGAAGGACTTGCAGGTGAAATAGTTGACCCACGTTGTTTATTGTTGTTACTACTACTTGTGATAGAAGTGATGGTAGCAGGAGAGCTCCCGCCTGGAGAGGCAGAAGCTGAAAGAGGTGGAGCAGATAAAGAGGCTGATAAAGGAGCAGTTGTAGAAGCAGAAAGAGGAGGAGCAGTTGCTGAAGGCAATGGAACAGCAGTTCCTGGAGAGTGTGAAAGACCATTATTTGAAGATGGAGGGGGGACATAAATTTGAAGATGTTTCATTGCAGCCATTTTCTGATGTCTTAATTGTTGTTGCTGTTGTTGCTGTTGTTGCATTTGGATATGATGGTGATGTGGATGCGGATGTGAATGTGAATGTGAATGTGAATGTGAATGTGAATGTGAATGTGAATGTGGATGTGGATGTGGATGGAAATGCTGGACTTGATGTTCTGGAGGAATCATTGGGACAGGATGATTTGGGTCTAAACGGAATGCTTCATAATAGTTACGTTTGGGTGAAGGTTGAGTATGTGGGCCAGAGGATGAGCCTGTGGTTATATTTGGCATACTTGCAGACCCTGAGAGTCTTGTTGGAGCTGGAGAATAGATTGGAGTATTTCCTGTGGAAGCACTTGGAGGAGAGCATAATGATTGAGCAGAAGATGAAGAAGATGCAATTGTTGTTCCTGTTGTTGTTGTTGTTGTTGTTGTTGTTGTTGTTGCTGGTGTTGAATAAGCTGCTACAGCTGATGAAGAATGTTTTGTGATACTGGAACATGACCTTGATGCAGGAATTGGGGGGCAAGCAGAGCTTGGAGTAGTGACTGGAGGGTATATTGCAGGAGAAGCTGGAGATGGAGTAGTTATAGGAGGTTGTTGTTGCTGTTGTTGTTGTTGCTGTTGCTGTTGTTGCAACTGACTATTATTGAAAGATTGTTGGGTAAACCCCAAAGAGTTGATACGATGATGGTTATTTTTTTCTGGGGTTGATGGAGATGTTTGTGCTACTACTGATGTTAAAGAAGTAGAAGAAGAAGAAGAAGAAGAAGGTAAAGATGATGATGATGATGATGATGATAATTGGAAAGGACTTTGTTGGTTTATTGTTGAAGATGAATCTGTTGCGGACCAGCCGCGTTTTGTTTTCAAGGTAGCCAGAGCAAGCCGTGATTTGAGAGATTGGGTCATCTAAGTTAAGTTAAGTTTAAATTGAAAGTTAGAAAAAAAAAAAGTTTTTTTTAACAAAAATGAAAAAAAAAAAAAAATAATTAAATAAAATGAAAAGAATTATACCATAAGAATAAGCATACCCTGGAGATTTTAGCACGTTGGAGAACATCCTTGCCGATTGCGTCGAGAGACGTTGGCGACACTGGCTTTTCAGGCATTTGAAATAGGATGAGGATGTCCTTATTGCCAGGATGTATGAATGTGATGATATGATATTTATGATGGTAAGTTTATTATTGGATAAAAAGAATAAACGAAAGAATAAAAGAAAGAATAAAAGAAAGTTTTGTTTTAAAAACAATTTTTTTTTTTCTTTTTTTTTTTTTTTTTTTTTTTGAGTCTATGATGAATATATTAAAAATGTCTCTATAATGATTCCAAAAGTTGTTGTGAATTTGTGTGATCGAGACACAATTGGAGGTTTTCTAATTTTTTTTTTTTTTTTTGGTCTTTCTGGCTTTTTTTTTATTTATTATTTTGTTGTTGCTACCAGCTGGCCAAACCCGCAAAAGACCAGTCATTAAAGGGGTGTGTGTCTGTGTCTGTGTGTGTGGAATATCAAAAAAAAAAAAAAAAAAAAAAAAAAAATTAAAAATCTTTACTGTGTTTAAGTATTTTTGATACCAAAAGAATATTTCAGAATACCAAAAAAAAAGCCCATTGTTTTTTTTATTTTTTTTTTTTTTTTTTTTTATTATTATTGAGGTTTTTTTTTTTTTTTTTTTTTTTTTTTTTAATACGGAATGGGAATTTTTATTATTTTATTTTATTTTATTTTAATTTAATTTAATTTTATACGGACATAATAATAATAATTAAAACACACCACTACCACCACTAATAACAATCTTATAAAGTATATACCACTTACACAGTATATTTATTATTATTATATTATCTCTCCAAAAAGGAAGAAGAAAAAATTACCAAAATTTTCTTTCTTTCTAAAGCATTCCAGAAAACCTTTTTTTTTTTTTTTTCTCTTTTTTCTCTTTTTTCTTTTCTTTCTTTTCTTTCTTTTCTTTCTTTCTTTTTTTTTTTTTTTTTTTCCCTCTTTTTTTATTTGACCATTATTTTATTTCAAATATATATATAATATATTCACAACACCCACTTTATATATATTAAATTCCAATTAATCAATCATTTACTAATTAATCCCAATATATATATATATATTCCCTCATTCTTTAATATTTATTTATTATAATAATAATAATAACAATAACAATAACAATGCCCAACTCAAATATCATTCCTCCTAATGAACAGAATATCGCAGATACCCTTCTTCAGATCCGCTCAGAACTTTCAGCTCTTAAAAAAAACCGCGCTTCTTATATAAAGTCTACAGATATTGCTCCCATTCATGAACGCCTCATCCAACAAATTCGTGCAATCAATGCTATCCGTGCAGACCCAAGCCTTCAACATGAGCAAAATAAAGTTGATATCATTCTCGACGATGTTTTCCGTCTCCTCTCCTTAGCTTTCCTTACTGCAGGCCTTAACCGCTCAGCCCCAGCAACTTTTGCCTCCCTCTCAGCTGTTCAATCCCTTTTAGACCACCTTAAAGAGTCTCAAGTTTACTCTGATAATGATACGGCCCCTATCCGTACCCGTCTTGATGAAATCAAGGTCATTCTCGCAGAACAAGAAGAAGCTGGAACAGAATCCCCAGAAATCCTTCATCTCCTTAAAACTAAACTAGATGTGGCCTCTCATAGCCTTAAGGAAGTTGAAGATTCCATGAAGGCCGTCTTTGATAGTGGCCTCAATGATATGCTTCGCAGACTTGTCGCCCTCCGTAGAGAAATCTTGTCAATCGGTTCAAAACCTCGCTACTCTGCCTCTAGCTTGACCCCAGTCTCTGCAAAACTCGCCCAAATCGAGGCTGAGCGTGATGATGAAGGTAACTTTGTTGCTAGTGATGGTAAAGTTAACCCAGAAGCTCAAGCTGTTCTTAACTCTCTCTTGGATGAGTGCAGAAACCTAATTAAAGAGTTTTCCGGTGCTGTCACTGCTCGCAGTTCAAATGATATGCCTGAACAGCTGCGGCCCTTTTATAAGAAACTGGTTGAACTCAAGTCCAAACTTGAAAATTTGTTGGTAACTCATCGCTGGACCATGCGTGAAACTGACTTGTATGCTTACCAAAAATCTCTTGAAGAAATTGATACGGCAAGAACATCTGACCCAGAACTCGCAGCCCTTGCAAAGGAAAACCACAAGGCATCAGCAATCATCCTCTATCTGCTGCGGAGATGTTACGCCATTCTCTACAAGTTGCTGGAGTCTTCCCAGCCTGTATCTGAGGCCCTGATACCCGTTCATAATCAGCTTTCAACTGTCCGTCGTTGTCTTCTTGAAGTCCAACGTAACGGTGGTCTCTCCTCTGCTCGTGAACTTTATCCCTATCAGATGAAACTTGCCTCTATTGATGACATGCGTGTTGATGGCAAGTTCATGGTTGGTGATACTATTCCAGAAGGTCAAGGTATGCTCAATGCTTTGTTATCTGAATGCTTTGAGATTTGCTACGAACTCAAGGTTGAAATGATGGACCGTAATGAGTCTGGTACGAATGAAGAGGATAATAGTATTCAATTTACAGAAGGTGCTGAGGACCGTGAGGAGGAGATTTGTGAAGGTGATGATGATGAAGAGGCTGTTGAGGAAGATGATGAAGGTGTGGAAATTACCCGTGAGCCGTCTTCGCGGGATTAAAAAAAAAAAAAAAAAAAAAAAAAGTAGTTTGAATATTAATAATAGTTAGTTTAATAATAATCATGGTTTGTGTTTTGTTATGTTAAATTAAGTTAAGTTTGAAGTTTTTGAAGTTTTGTGGTTTCTTATCTCTATGATTATGTAATGTTTTACAAATTTTAATAATGTGTCACCTAACAAACATGACTCTTTTATAAAAATTTTTCAAACAAAATCTAATCAACTTCTTTCTATATAAAAAGCCCCCAAATCCTACCATTTTAAGAATTTTTTTTTTTTTTTTTTTTTTTCAACCATCCCATCCATATATACCCACACCAACACATATATATACATATATATATACACTTAAAATGTGCGGAATCTGCGCCTTTTTTAGACACCCCGAAATTGAAAACTTTAAGGATCATGCGCTCACACTTTCCAAGCGCATCCGTCACCGTGGTCCCGATTGGTCCGGTAATGTGATTAAAAACAGCACAATTCTGCTGCATGAACGCTTGTCCATTGTGGGTGTTGATTCCGGTGCTCAACCCATCACCAATGCTGATGAAACCATTGCTTTGGCTGTCAATGGTGAGATTTATAACCACCGCATTCTGCGCGCAAAGGAACTTAGCGACTACCCTTATAAGACTCACTCAGATTGTGAGCCTATCATCCCTCTCTACCAAAAGTATGACACTGACGCTCCCAAGTATCTCGACGGCATGTTTGCATTTGTTCTCTACGACGCCCCTAAGGATCGCATTATTGCGGCCAGAGACCCCATCGGTATCACCACTCTTTACATGGGTCGTTCCAAGAAAAACCCCCAAACCCGTGCTTTTGCCTCGGAGCTCAAGTGTCTTGTCGATGACTGCGACGAAATTATCGCCTTCCCCCCTGGTCATGTTTACGATTCCGTGACTGATGAAGTCACTCGTTATTACAACCCTATTTGGTGGGATGCGGAAAAAATCCCCTCCACTCCTGCCAACCTTACCCTTATTCGTGAAACCCTTGAAAAGGCTGTCCGCAAGAGACTCATGTCTGAAGTCCCCTATGGTGTCTTGCTCTCTGGTGGCTTGGACTCATCTCTTATTGCCTCCATTGCTGCCCGCGAAACCTCAAAGGCCATTTTGGATAACCCTATTGACCACTCGCTCGCTGGTATCGACGAATCTGGTACCCTGATCAACACCTCGGGCTCTCGTCTTCACTCGTTTGCTGTTGGTCTCCCCAATGCTCCTGATCTTCAAGCTGCCAAGAAGGTGGCCAAGTACATTGGTACTATTCATCATGAGCACACTTTTACTCTGGAAGAAGGTCTTGATGCTCTTAAGGATGTCATTTGGCATTTGGAGACTTTTGACGTGACTACAATCCGTGCGTCTACCCCCATGTACCTGCTTTCTCGCAAAATCAAGGCCCAGGGTGTTAAGATGGTTCTTTCTGGTGAAGGATCAGATGAAATCTTTGGTGGTTACTTGTACTTTGCCAATGCTCCCTCTAGAGAAGAGTTCCACAAGGAGTCTGTTTCCCGTGTTAAGAACCTTCACCTGGCTGACTGTCTTCGTGCCAACAAGTCCACAATGGCTTGGGGTCTGGAAGCCCGTGTGCCCTTTTTGGATAAGGAGTTTTTGGATGTGTGCATGACTATTGATCCCACTGATAAGATGATTACCAAGGAACACATTGAGAAGTACATTTTGCGCAAGGCTTTTGATACCTCTGATGATCCTTCTGCTAAGCCTTATCTTCCTGATGAGATTCTGTGGCGCCAAAAGGAGCAGTTTTCTGATGGTGTTGGATACTCGTGGATTGACGGTCTTAAGGATGCTGCTGAGGCCCGCATTACTGATGAGCAAATGGCCAACCCTAAGCCTGAATGGGGCAGTGATATTCCAACAACAAAGGAGGCTTACTGGTACCGCCTTATGTTTGACGATCTGTTCCCACAACCTTCGGCTGCGTCCACTGTTATGCGTTGGATCCCCAAGGCTGATTGGGGCTGCCATGCTGATCCTTCTGGTCGTTATGCAAAGACCCACGAGGCTTCTGTCTTGTCCACTGAGTAGATGCTTTAGATGTAAAGAAAAAAAAAATTTGATAAAGAAGATGAAGAAAAAGTTGTATTTTTTTTTTTTTTTTTTTAATTTGTTACTAATTATTATCATTATTATTATTATTACTATATACAAGTTTAGGCGTAAAAGTCGTAATACTTTTTGGAGTAGTAGACGAGATTAACACCAGCCAAAACGCTTAGTCCAATGGGGACAGGTTTTTGAAGTTTAATTGCACGGGGGAGGGACGCGCCACCCAAAAGAAGAGAACCGAGAAGAGCGAGTTCGAGACCCCAATCAGCGTTACGTTTAAGTAGAATTCCAGCAGCACCAAAGACAATTCCAGTTGAAACGCCGCCAATAAGGGATGGTAAAGATTTGCGACGAATGTAACCTGCGAGGCCACCGATAGTGCATAAAGCACTCATAGTAAAAGCGGGATGTTCCTACGAAAAAAAAAAAAAAAAAAATGGGGACAAAAAAAGAAGAAAAAAAAGAAAAAAAGAAAAAGAATAATTGAGAAGATGGTGAGAGATTGGGAAAGATTTTTTTAAAAAAATAAAAAATAAATAAATTTTAAAGAAGAGATAGAAAAACATACCATTATGTGTGTGTGTGTGAAGAATGATTTGGGTGGTGGTGGTAGTGGTGATGGTGATAGGATTAAAAGTGATGTAAGTTTATAAGAAAGAAAAAAAAAAAAAAAAAGTGTGTGTGTGTGTATGTGTATTATTTTTTTTAATAATTAATTTAATTTAATTTAATTTAATTTAATTAATTATAATTAAATTGATGGTTTTAAAAAAAATTTATGTTAATTAATAACAAATTTGTTTAAACAAATCGGAGATGAAAAAAAAAAAAAAAAAAAAAAAAAGTTTGTTTTTAAAGGGGTTTTGGTTGGTTTCTGTAGATGCTGACTAAGAAAACATATTATGGAAGATAAATTATAAATTATAAATTATAAATTATATTTTGGAATATAAAACAATAATTATCCGTGGGGGGAAGGGGGTGGGGAATATTAAAAAAAAAATTAATATATCAAAGTAATAAAATATATGTTTTTTTATTTATTTATTTATTTAAAAAAAAAAAAAAAACTTGTATATTGATGTCATCATCAAAAGTTAGAATTTTTTCTTTTTTTTTTTTTTTTGTTCATTTAATTGATTAAAGATTAATGACGAATTATCAATAATCGATAATTGAGTGGGGGGGAGGGAGGAAGAGGTGGTGGTTGAAAGTATTAAATGGATTTTAAAAATAATAAAATAATAAAAAAAAAAAAAGATCTCGAGAAATACCGAGCGACTTTTTTCATAAATATATATTTTGACGGGACGGGACGGGACGGATACCCCGAGGCCGTAAGATTTATTTAATGAAAAGGGAAATGTTATTATCGGGTATTTTCATAAGCCGTTTTTTTTTTCAATGAATTAATGATAATTATCAAAAAAAAAAAAAAAAAAAGTTTAGTTTATGTCTCGGTTATATCGGTAATAAGAAGGTATATATATATTATATATAAAAGTATAAAAGTATAAAAGTATATAGAATATAGAATAGAATAACAAGCAAATTTGCTTGTCTCCGGACAAAAGTAGGCCGCCGCACAGGTTGAAAAAAAAAAAAAAAATGGAATCTGTAGAGTTGGGCGGTTAAAAGAATTTTTCAAAAAAAATAAAATAAAATAATGGAGAAAGAAAGAAAGATTGAAATGCGATATTTAATAGAATTTCAAAAAAAAAAGAGAATAGAAAATGTATAATAGATTTATATACAAATGGATAGCGGTAATAATTTGGTAAAAAAAAATATGAAAATAAAAAAAAAAAAAAATATGGAGAAAATGTGTGTGATAGAAAGATTTTATATATATAATAATAATTTCCATATTAGGCAATTTGGAATATATTTTAAAAATATATTCTAAAAAAAAAATAAAGATTTTATTTAATTCTATAAAGTAAATTTATAAATTATAAGATCAAAAAAAAAAAAAATAATAAACAATTAATCAATTAATCAATTAATCAATCATATAGTTTTTTTTATTTATTTTGTGGATTCTTTGATGTTTAAAAAAAAAAAAAATTTGGGAGGTTTTATTTATATATTTTTATTATTATTTTTCTAACAATGGTGTACTATAGTTAAAAGAAAGTTGAAACCAAACATTATTTGCAACAACAACAACAACAACAACAAAAAGTTGTTTCATCCAAAAAAAAAAAAAAAAAAATTGTTAAATTTTCAATTACTTTAAAAAAAAAACCAAAAAAAAATTACGAAGATGATGATGTTTGTTTGTTTGTTTTTCTTTCTTTCTTTCTTTCTTTCTTTCTTTCTTACCAAATAGTCCATCAGTCGTTTATATCCTAAAGATCATCAAACTATATCACCATTAACAATCATTCTCATCTTGTAAGTTTTTTTTTTTTCTTTTAATTTTAGAAATGAAGAAATAATAAAAATAAAAGAGTTTTTTTCTGATAAAAAAAATAACCTATCATCCATAGTATCTTTCTATTCTTTCTATATATATTTCTAAATCATTTCAATCAACACTTTTTGTAAGTTCTTTCAAAAAAAAATCTCAATAATTCAATTTCCCAGTAATCATTGACAGAAAGTTATATATATATATATATATATATATATATAGATGATTATGATGATGACGATGATGATCAACCACTTACTTCTTTGATCCTCAAATACATTTCAAATCCAGGTAAGTCAATATCTTCCCTTTTCACAATGAGTTTCTACAAAATTCTAACAAAACATTCTACAATTCCATTTTCATTTCATGAACAATACTACGAATTCCATCAATATCCTCTTTTTTTTTTTTTCTCTCTCTCCAGAAAAAATAAAACTTCCACCTTCCCTTTCTTTCTTTAATCATCAACTATCAACCGCAAACATTATTAATTCATAACCATTAAAAGTCCTGGAAAGAGATGTAAATGTCACTGATTACCTGACGGATTGTCACTTCCTTTTTTTTTTTTTTTTTTTTTCTTCTTACTATGCTCAAAAAATTTATCAAATATTGTAGCCATTAAACTTCAACATCTGGTGAGCTTTCCCATACTGCCTATCCTTAAAAATGGGTTCGGAGAGATCCAGGGGTGTATCTCGAAGGCCCGCCAATACTAACATTTAACACTAATTTCCCAAGCTTCTAGAATCTAGCATTTTATTATTTATTTATTTATTATTATTATTATTTATTATTTGAACCTTGGTTGACCCCCTTTAAGTCTTTTATATTTAAAAATTTAAATCTATAAAAAAAAAAAAACCTCCCCCTCTTGCGATTGACGACATCGTTTCGACACTTTAAAAATTTTCAAATTTCAGCAATAAAAAACTATCAAATTTATTAGCAAATTTTTTTGTTTTCAATCTATCAACATTATCAACAACTTTTTTTCTTTCATCGACTAAAAAAATTTACCATCAACAACTTATAAACAAACCCACTTTTTACTCAACATTCATACATATATATATATATCTTTTCTTTTTTATACCTTTTTTTTCTTTCTTTTTCTTTTATCCCATCTTCTATTTTCATACCGCATTCTTCGTCATCACTGCGTTAAGCTGGTCATGCGTTTCTTCACACCCTATCCAATCTTTACCCGATTGGGAAGAAACAAGTTCATCGTCCCTAGCAGTGCTCATTATAGCCTATTTTTTTTTTTTTTTTCTTTTTGGCAATGATATTGTGACTTGAAGAAATGCGAAGAGTGTCTCTTATTCCAGGCAAGAAAAAAATAAAAAGTGACCAATAATATTCAACAATACAAATTCAAATACATCTGGCAATTGGATAGGCAGTATGATGAGAAAAAAAAAAATTCTACTTTTTGGGAAGTAACCGGAGCAAGCGTCCTCGTCGTGCTTCCTGGGATTTCTAAAAGATCATCTCGGGTCTGTTTCAAGATACAAAAAAAAAACAATTCGGGTTCTTTTAGAAATGCTAAATTTGCTCTAATAATATAGTAAATAGAATTATAATTGATTTTGTAAAAATTTTATTCAATTATGAAGAAGAAGAAGAAGAAGAAAACAAAAAAAAGACACCGGTGCTTTTAATCTTACTTGAGTCCCGGGCCCCGAAACAACAGTTTACCTATAAATTACATTTAATCTTAAGAAAAAATATTTCATCCTCATATAATAAAAGAAAAAAAAAAATTTTTTTAACTAGATAATGATTTTGAAACCTTACAGGTCTAGTTTCAATAATTAAAAAAAAAAAAATTCAATTAATTAAACTTGAAAATGAAAAATGAAAAATAAAAATGAAAATGAAAATGAAACCAGTGATGTACAAGTGTGGCTAAAACTGGCCATGTTTCAAGCGGAAATGAAAACCTCTTAATTCATTTTGAAATTACATAAAAAATATTTTTTTATGTATATATGAAACATGAGTCATTGATTGATAAATAACTATATAATTATTTATTAATATATATATAGTGATTTGGTTGGATGTAGATATTTCATCTACAACTATTCATTTAAGCTTTAGAGAATATCTGGTGATATAATGGAATTTAATTGGGAATTGACTATATTTAAACTATTTAGTTACCATAAAAAAATTAAACTCAATTGCCCAACAACTGATTACTAATAAACACCAAAAGTATGCCAAACTCGGTTATTTTTTAATTTTTTAATTTTTTTTTGTTTATTTTCTCATTTCATAAAAACCATTATCACCAATCTTTAACTTTCTTAACTAAAAACCCATTACATTCAATACATCTTCTAAAATATCTAGAATACTTTTTACGGCCTCTTTGTACTAAGTAAGATTTTTCAATTGCTTTTAAATCTTGTATTTGGTCTTGAGCCATGTTGACATGGAGAAACTTTAGTTAGGTTTTTTAGTATTGAACTTTGCAAAAAAAAAAAAAAATAAAATCAATTTCAACAAAAGATAAATTCCTTGTATTTTTCTAATCTTTAACAATTAATTTAAAGTATTTAAATGATATTTAACTTGATGATATTACTAAATTCAAAGTTACCTGGAACTCAATACCTTTATTAGAACTATTCCTGTACCATGGATATCCTCTAAAGATTTCCCGCAACAGCTATGAAAATACCCAGCTACAGAAAAACAGAGTACTTTAATTACGTTTTTTTTTTTTTTTTTTTTTTTTTTTTACATTTTTAAAGTTTACAGTAATAACTTTTATCAGTTTTTGGTTCTTGATTCTTACCTAATGACTATATTAACTAAGGGACAAGACAGACATTAGGCTTACTTTTTCAGTAGCTAGATTTTAAGCTCTTAAGAACCACCACGATACCAACAACATTTCAAATTTTTTTTTTTTAAATGCTTTACTTTTTTTTATATTATTTCACAAAAAGGTGTTGTTTCCATGTCAATCCAATTGCTTTTAAATTGCTATTATTACCAACTTACACGACTCAACCCACCTGACATGAAGTGGTTTCCAGCCTTAGGAGATGTGAATTTTTTGTGTCGATATAATGAATTTTTCTTTTTAATTATTGGATATTGTCCAAGTAATAGAAGTTGCCGATGAACGGGTACAT